GACTTAGCTAGTGAGTACAGGTATCTAATACATCACCTGACTTAGTACAGGTATCTAATACATCACCTGACTTAGCTAGTGAGTACAGGTATCTAATACATCACCTGACTTAGTTAGTGAGTACAGGTATCTAATCCATCACCTGACTTAGTTAGTACAGGTATCTAATACATCACCTGACTTAGTGAGTACATGTATCTAATACATCACCTGACTTAGTTAGTACAGGTATCTAATACATCACCTGACTTAGTTAGTGAGTACAGGTATCTAATACATCACCTGACTTAGTTAGTACAGGTATCTAATACATCACCTGACTTAGTGAGTACATGTATCTAATACATCACCTGACTTAGTTAGTACAGGTATCTAATACATCACCTGACTTAGTGAGTACATGTATCTAATACATCACCTGACTTAGTGAGTACATGTATATAATCCATCACCTGACTTAGTGAGTACATGTATCTAATACATCACCTGACTTAGTGAGTACATGTATCTAATACATCACCTGACTTAGTGAGTACATGTATCTAATCCATCACCTGACTTAGTGAGTACAGGTATCTAATACATCACCTGACTTAGCTAATGAGTACAGGTATCTAATACATCACCTGACTTAGTAAGTACAGGTATCTAATACATCACCTGACTTAGTGAGTACAGGTATCTAATCCATCACCTGACTTAGTGAGTACAGGTATCTAATACATCACCTGACTTAGTGAGTACAGGTATCTAATACATCACCTGACTTAGTGAGTACATGTATCTAATACATCACCTGACTTAGTGAGTACAGGTATCTAATACATCACCTGACTTAGTGAGTACATGTATCTAATACATCACCTGACTTAGTGAGTACATGTATCTAATACATCACCTGACTTAGTTAGTGAGTACAGGTATCTAATACATCACCTGACTTAGTGAGTACAGGTATCTAAACCATCACCTGACTTAGTGAGTACATGTATCTAATACATCACCTGACTTAGTGAGTACATGTATCTAATACATCACCTGACTTAGTGAGTACATGTATCTAATACATCACCTGACTTAGTTAGTGAGTACAGGTATCTAATACATCACCTGACTTAGCTAGTGAGTACAGGTATCTAATACATCACCTGACTTAGCTAGTGAGTACAGGTATCTAATACATCACCTGACTTAGTGAGTACAGGTATCTAATACATCACCTGACTTAGCTAGTGAGTACAGGTATCTAATCCATCACCTGACTTAGTGAGTACATGTATCTAATACATCACCTGACTTAGTGAGTACAGGTATCTAATCCATCACTTGCCTTAGATAGTGAGTACAGGTATCTATTGATCTATTGTATTCTTAGTTGTTTCCGCAAAATGTGTGTTTTGTGAGTATTGTAACGTTTTCTAGTGTGAGAGAGCAGAGAAACAGTTTAGAAAAGTGTTAAAAGCACTTTTTTAAGAATAAAAAAAGCTTTTAATGTTACACCCATTGTACTTAAAAAATACAACTACATTTAAAATCGAAATACTCCTCTTGTTTACCAGACACACATTCCACAGCATACAACTCTCTTGTTTCCTGGTGACAACAAGACGCCTTATGAACCTTAATATGGAGTTTGTTGAAAGGTTTTCTAGTGTAAGAGCGACCTAAGCCTGGCTTACACGACAGCAATATGGTTTCCTGCATGTAGGGCCGGTGTGGGCAGCTGACTGTCTGTCGGCTTTATGGGCAGATCCTTGAAGAAATGACGGGTTAATGTAATAATAGCTTGCCAGTGGGCGCCGAGCACATGGACATCTTGGCTAACTTGATTACTCTCGGGGGTGGATTAAGTAACACAGGCAGGAGAGGATCAAGTCTTACAGACAGGGGGAGGATTTAGTCGTATAGAGGGGAGGATTTAGTCACACAGAGGGGAGGATTTAGTCGTATAGAGGGGAGGATTTAGTCGTATAGAGGGGAGGATTTAGTCACACAGAGGGGAGGATTTAGTCGCACAGAGGGGAGGATTTAGTCGTATAGAGGGGAGGATTTAGTCACACAGAGGGGAGGATTTAGTCACACAGAGGGGAGATTTAGTCACACAGGCAGGAGAGGATCAAGTCTTACAGACAGGGGGAGGATTTAGTCGCATAGAGGGGAGGATTTAGTCACACAGAGGGGAGGATTTAGTCACACAGAGAGGAGATTTAGTCACACAGAGGGGCAGTGGCGTAGGCAGGGGGGTTAGAGGGGGTCATAACCTCCCCCCCCCCCCCATAGACCCCTCGGTATATAGAAAAAGTATGAGGGGGTGTGCAAATCGAAAGTTTGAGGGGGGTAGCAAATCGAAAGGTTTGAGGGGGGTGCAAATCGAAAGTTTGAGGGCGGGGGGTGCAAATCGAAAGTTTGAAGGGGGGATGCAAATTGAAAGTTTGAGGGGGGGGTGCAAATCGATAGTTTGTCCCCGGGTAAAAATTGGAACCCTCCCCCTTGAGACGATCCTGGCTACGCCACTGCAGAGGGGAGATTTAGTCACACGGAGGGGAGATTTAGTCACACAGAGGGGAGGATTTAGTCCCACAGAGGGGAGAATTTAGTCGCATAGGGGGGAGGATTTAGTCGCACAGAGGGGGAGGAGTTAGTCGTATAGAAGGGAGGATTTAGACACATAGAGGAGAGGATTTAGTCGCATAAAAGGGAGGATTTAGTCGCACAGAGGTTGAGGATTTAGTCGTATAGAAGGGAGGATTTAGACACATAGAGGAGAGGATTTAGTCGCATAAAAGGGAGGATTTAGTCGTATAGAAGGGAGGATTTAGTCGTACAGAGGGGAGGATTTATTCACACAGAGGGGAGGATTTAGTCGCAGAAAAGGGAGGATTTAGTCACACAGAGGGGAGGATTTAGTCACACAGAGGGGAGGATTTAGTCACACAGAGAGGAGATTTAGTTACACAGAGGGGAGGATTTAGTCACACAGAGGGGAGATTTAGTCGTATAGAGGGGAGGATTTAGTCGCACAGAGGGGAGGATTTAGTCACACAGAGAGGAGGTTTAGTCACACAGAGGGGAGGATTTAGTCACACAGAGGGGAGATTTAGTCGTATAGAGGGGAGTATTTAGTCGCATAGAGGGGAGGATTTAGTTGCACAAAGGGGAGGATTTAGTCGCATAGAGTTTTTTACCTGGCGACCCATCTGGATTTTCCCCCGTAGTCCAGCGGGCCAGTCCATCCCCTAGACACTCATACAATATTGGATAAGGTATTCATTACATAGGATCATGCATGATTATAAATATCATTTTTAAAAGTGTTTGATTTTAGAGTATTTAAATTTTAATAGAATCGAATTGCATTTCTAAAAAGGATTGAGGCTTAAAAAGTGTATGTAACTTATATTAAATTTTTGAAAAAATCTTTTTTTTAAAATGGCAAGTGATAAAATTATAGTTACATTTTAAAAACTTAAAGCTGTTTGGAAACCATCGATTACAATCATTTTCATATATTTGTTAATATTAAAAATTAATTATTTAATTTTTTTTTTAAATATAAATAAACCGGTAGTGATCTCCCCTAAACTTTCTCGAATATTCTTATATAAAACAACAGGGGATGGTAACTGGGGATATAGTTATGATTTTTAATCCATTGTAAATACTTAAACTTTTAAAAATAGAATAGAATCTCATAAAAAAAACATTGCGCACCAAGCAAACGCCGAATAAAAACGCGTATAATAGTGCGCAATATTATTAGTACTTTAAAAATTTACATTAGTTTTTTGAGAAATCGGAAGTAGCGTAAATTACTACTTCCAGTCAACGGAAATTACTCAAAATTTAACAGAAGGTAGAGAATTAGATCTTTTACTTACATGTGAAATTTCATTTATCTATCTGAAATAGTACTCAAGTTATAGGCTTTTGAAAAATTCAAAGTAGGAAAAGTACCACTTCCGGTTATCGGAAATCGCTCAAAAGTTGATACGGATCTACGATTTTGATAAAATACTTATATATGAAATTTCATCAACCTAGCTGTAACGGTACTCAAGTTATCGTGTTTACACACAGACACACACACGGACAGACACACACACACACAGACATACGGACAAGATTGCAAAATTATGTTTTTCCGTATCAGTGAGGTGTAAAACGTCGAGATTTGTAAAAATCTCGATTTTTTTTTTTTGCACGATTACAATACTTTCTCTATACTACGTATATACGAGAAAGTAAAAAGTTAAAAAGCTAATTAAGTCGTTTTATTTCACGTTGCATTGTCATAGGGTCTTGATTTACGTGTCAAGTTTGAAAGAATACGGTTTTTGTAAGAGTGGTCCCAATTTGGCTCGCAAGATCGACACGTGATTTTAAATTTGATTAATTGAAAGTATTTATATCGCTTAAACAGGTATTGAGGCTAGTACGCTAACAAATACTAAGAAACATTTTTTTCGATGCTCAGTAGTATAAAATCCTAAAGGACGTTAACATTGCAATGCCCAAATTAAACAGACTTAAGTCAGTTCTGATCACTTCTTATCCCGAAGTTTGTAAGCTTTATTTTAGTTCATAAGATCTGTTTATTTGTGTTTTTTTGTGTTTATTTGTGTTTATTTGCTGTTTGTTGGCTTGCGGCAAATCTTGTACTTCATTTTGACCTACTCGTTATGGACCAATGTCGTTCAAACTTTCTAGATACATTCATCTTCAATGACACCGCAAGAATATTTATTTTTATTTCTAATAAGACATTAGGTTATGTGGTTATTGGTCAGTTATGTGATGATGGGGTCAGTTATGTGGTGGGATCAGTTATGTGGTAGAGGGGATCAACCAAAGTTATGGTGGGGTTAATCCGTTGGTAGAATGGTAGTAGTTAGGTAAACTTTGGCATCGTCTATATATAAGTTGTATTGTGTACATGCATAAAACAGAATATTGTTGTATGACCAACCAAATTGTGTTCACGAGTCCAACTATTTTTTCAGGTTTTACGGTCAGTCGATTTCCCGGGCTAAATCTGTTCGCACTCCAATGTAACGGCTCGCATCTGCCCAGTGATGTGAGAAATGTTCAACACATTAGTCTGGAGCGACGCTCGGTCAAAACGTCAGGAGACCCCCACATTATAGCGTCTCTGTCTTCTGTTGGTAAGTCCTACACGTCTTCACATTATAGCGTCCCTGTCTTCTGTTGGTAAGTCCTACACGTCTTCACATTATAGCGTCCCTGTCTTCTGTTGGTAAGTCCTACACGTCTTCACATTATAGCGTCCCTGTCTTCTGTTGGTAAGTCTTCACATTATAGCGTCCCTGTCTTCTGTTGGTAAGTCTTCACATTATAGCGTCCCTGTCTTCTGTTGGTAAGTCTTCACATTATAGCGTCCCTGTCTTCTGTTGGTAAGTCCTACACGTCTTCACACTATAGCGTCCCTGTCTTCTGTTGGTAAGTCCTACACGTCTTCACATTATAGCGTCCCTGTCTTCTGTTGGTAAGTCCTCACATTATAGCGTCCCTGTCTTCTGTTGGTAAGTCCTCACATTATAACGTCCCTGTCTTCTGTTTGGTAAGTCTTCACATTATAACGTCCCTGTCTTCTGTTGGTAAGTCTTCACATTATAACGTCCCTGTCTTCTGTTGGTAAGTCCTACAAGCAGTGTTTCTTCCAGACTTTTTTCTCCGGGGTGGGGGGCAGTTGATATTTTCGGGGGGGGGGGGCGGTCGATATTTTTCGGTTGGGCGGACACTAGTAATAAAAGTGTATGTTTACTATATAAATTGCATCTCGTTCGGGGGGGGGGGCGGTAGACTTTCTTCGGGGGGGGGGGGGGGGCTCCCCCCGTACAGATGCCTGGAAGAAACTCTGCCTACATGTCCTCACAATATAATGTACCTGTCCTCTGTTGGTAAGTCCTCTCATTATAGCGTCCCTGTCTTCTGTAGCCCTACAATTCCCACATTATAGCGTCCTTCATTAGTTGGTAATTCTACCAGTAATCTCTAATGGAATGATAAATGATTATTTCTGTTGTTCTTATTTACCACAGTGGTCAGATGGTGTTCGACTTGAGAAAGGACATGGTAACACTAATGTTTACATTCCAGATGGTGTTCGACTTGAAAAAGGACATGGGAACGCCAATGTTTACGTCAGTGGCAAGTTTGACGTGGATAATATTCAATCTACGTCACTGACAGTTCTTCTTGCTGACGTCAGTCTGGAAACAGATGTGACCTACGGTTGTAAAATAAGTTACATTAAAAGAGGGGGGAGCTTGGAGGTGACAGAGCGGCTACTCAATGTTACCTTCAGTGGTGAGGCTTTATCTAACACACACGGCATTAGTAGCTTTCTCACATGAAGATTTAACTCACTCACATGAAGATTTAACTCACTCACATCAAGATTTAACTCACTCACATCAAGATTTAACTCACTCACATCAAGATTTAACTCACTCACATCAAGATTTAACTCACTCACATCAAGATTTAACTCACTCACATCAAGATTTAACTCACATCAAGATTTAACTCACTCACATGAAGATTTAACTCACTCACATCAAGATTTAACTCACATCAAGATTTAACTCACTCACATGAAGATTTAACTCACTCACATCAAGATTTAACTCACATCAAGATTTAACTCACTCACATCAAGATTTAACTCACTCACATCAAGATTTAACTCACTCACATGAAGATTTAACTCACTCACATCAAGATTTAACTCACATTAAGATTTAACTCACTCACATGAAGATTTAACTCACATGAAGATTTAACTCACTCACATGAAGATTTAACTCACTCACATCAAGATTTAACTCACTCACATCAAGATTTAACTCACATCAAGATTTAACTCACATGAAGATTTAACTCACTCACATGAAGATTTAACTCACTCACATCAAGATTTAACTCACTCACATCAAGATTTAACTCACTCACATCAAGATTTAACTCACTCACATCAAGATTTAACTCACTCACATCAAGATTTAACTCACATCAAGATTTAACTCACTCACATGAAGATTTAACTCACATGAAGATTTAACTCACTCACATCAAGATTTAACTCACTCACATGAAGATTTAACTCACTCACATCAAGATTTAACTCACTCATATCAAGATTAAACTCACTCACATCACGATTTCACTCACTCACATCAAGATTTAACTCACTCACATCAAGATTTAACTCACTCACATCAAGATTTAACTCACATCAAGATTTAACTCACTCACATCAAGATTTAACTCACTCACATCAAGATTTAACTCACTCACATGAAGATTTAACTCACTCACATCAAGATTTAACTCACTCACATCAAGATTAAACTCACTCACATCAAGATTTAACTCACTCACATGAAGATTTAACTCACTCACATCAAGATTTAACTCACATCAAGATTTAACTCACTCACATCAAGATTTAACTCACATCAAGATTTAACTCACTCACATGAAGATTTAACTCACTCACATCAAGATTTAACTCACTCACATCAAGATTAAACTCACTCACATCACGATTTCACTCACTCACATGAAGATTTAACTCACTCACATCAAGATTTAACTCACTCGCATCAAGATTTCACTCACTCACATCAAGATTTAACTCACTCACATGAAGATTTAACTCACTCACATCAAGATTTAACTCACTCACATCAAGATTTAACTCACATCAAGATTTAACTCACTCACATGAAGATTTAACTCACATGAAGATTTCACTCACTCACATCAAGATTTAACTCACTCACATCAAGATTTAACTCACTCACATCAAGATTTAACTCACTCACATGAAGATTTCACTCACTCACATCAAGATTTAACTCACATCAAGATTTAACTCACTCACATCAAGATTAAACTCACTCACATCACGATTTCACTTACTCACATGAAGATTTAACTCACTCACATCAAGATTTAACTCACATCAAGATTTAACTCACTCACATCAAGATTAAACTCACTCACATCACGATTTCACTCACTCACATGAAGATTTAACTCACTCACATCAAGATTTAACTCACTCACATCAAGATTTCACTCACTCACATCAAGATTTAACTCACTCACATGAAGATTTAACTCACTCACATCAAGATTTCACTCACTCACATCAAGATTTAACTCACTCACATCAAGATTTCACTCACTCACATCAAGATTTAACTCACTCACATCAAGATTTAACTCACTCACATCAAGATTTCACTCACTCACATGAAGATTTAACCATCTGATGGTTGTATCACCATGTACCAAACATCTGATGGTTTTACCACTGATGTGTCAACCATCAGATGGTTGTACCACCGATGTACCAACCATCTGATGGTTTTACCACTGATGTGTCAACCATCTGCTAATTATTTGACTGCCAACCATCTGATGATTGTTTCTGTCTTGCAGACCTACAAAGTTTATACAAAGTGCAACCGGTCGAGACAAAGACAAGTAAGTATTAGGTTGGCGTGGTGCATGATTAGTATTAGATGTTGTTTTTACAATGTTTTAAGTAGAGCAACTCCTGTTAAGTGGAGATATCCATTGATCAAATCCGACCATTCCTATCTAGGTCACCACTTACAGCGTGCCGCCCAGTCTACGTTTAATGAAACTAAAGAAGGTAAGGAGGCAGGAACATTCTACATACATTTCTTATATCCTCTAGAACATTCTACATACATTTCTTATATCCTCTAGAACATTCTGCATACATTTCTTATATCCTCTAGAACATTCTACATACATTTCTTATATCCTCTAGAACATTCTACATACATTTCTTATATCCTCTAGAACATTCTACATACATTTCTTAAATCATCTAGAACATTCTACATACATTTCTTATATCCTCTAGAACATTCTACATACATTTCTTATATCCTCTAGAACATTCTACATACATTTCTTAAATCCTCTAGAACATTCTACATACATTTCTTATATCCTCTAGAACATTCTACATACATTTCTTATATCCTCTAGAACATTCTACATACATTTCTTAAATTCTCTAGAACATTCTACATACATTTCTTATATCCTCTAGAACATTTAACCTACATTTCTTAAACCATCTAGAACATTCTACATACATTTCTTATATCCTCTAGAACATTTAACCTACATTTCTTAAACCATCTAGAACATTCTACATACATTTCTTATATCCTCTAGAACATTTAACCTACATTTCTTAAACCATCTAGAACATTCTACATACATTTCTTATATCCTCTAGAACATTTAACCTACATTTCTTAAACCATCTAGAACATTCTACATACATTTCTTATATCCTCTAGAACATTTAACCTACATTTCTTAAACCATCTAGAACATTCTACATACATTTCTTATATCCTCTAGAACATTTAACCTACATTTCTTAAACCATCTAGAACATTCTACATACATTTCTTATATCCTCTAGAACATTTAACCTACATTTCTTAAACCATCTAGAACATTCTACATACATTTCTTATATCCTCTAGAACATTTAACCTACATTTCTTAAATCCTCTAGAATATTCTACATACATTTCTTAAATCCTCTAGAATATTCTGCCTACATGTCTTCAACAATCTAAAACCCATACTGTAGCCTTTTTTCAAATCGCTAGAATATTTTGCCTATATATGCCAATTATCTAGAATGTATGGTATACCTTATGAGATCGGAGTGTTCTAGCGGTAGAGAGCTGGGCTACTAAACCATGAGTCTCGAGTTCGAATCCGGGTTCAAGTTAGTAGATCGTCCCTGAGTTTCACCCAACTCTGATGGGTACCTAACTCACGTTTGTGACGTTAGGGAAAGTAAAGGCGGCTGGGCATGGTGCTGACCACACTATCTCTTCATATGCCTTGGTCACAGAAACAAGTGAATTCAACTTCATTTGCCCCATAGACCGTCAGGTTTGAAAGGGAACTTAACTTCAATGGTATACCTTTATTTTTTTTTCTGAGACACTAGAACATTCTACTTATACTAGTTAAATCCTCTTCAACATTACGCCCAGGGTCTTTTTTTTTAAACTTAGCATAGCTTCATTTTTTTAAAAGGACCAGAGAACTCAACAAACTGTTTCCCAACTAGAACATTCTATCTGCAAGTATGTAAACAGACAAGGCTATTTCACTTAGTGAAAGGAGCTAGATCTAGAGTTAAATGTACAACTGTACAGACTTTTTCATTTTAACCATCTCAATGATCAGTTTACAAGACTTTTTCATTTTAACAATCTCAAGTATCAGTTTACTATCGTGAAATACATTTGTATTTTCTTGGTTTGTTTTTATTGTACATATTATAAGAGGCTTCTATAAATAGAGCTAGCTTTTTGTGAAAATTACGGCTCCCCTCCCAGCTAGCCAACATTTATACAGACCCAGAAAGACCCTTATCCCACATTTATACAAACCCAGAAAGACCCTTATCCCACATTTATACAAACCCAGAAAGACCTTATCCCACATTTATACAAACCCAGAAAAAAAACCTTATCCCACATTTATACAAACCCAGAAAGACCCTTATCCCACATTTATACAAACCCAGAAAGACCCTTATCCCACATTTATACAAACCCAGAAAGACCCTTATCCCACATTTATACAAACCCAGAAAGACCTTATCCCACATTTATACAAACCCAGAAAGACCCTTGGGGGTCATCCATAAATGACGTCACGCTTTTTTTGACGATTTTTACCTCCCCCCCTCCCCTCCGTCACACGTCGTCACAAAAAGTCAGACCCCCCCCCCTAAAATGACGTCACACCTCAACCTACAACCCCCCTCAAAATTGCAGTTGAATTTTTTTAAAACATCGATATTTTTCCAAATCTTGTCTAAACTATTACAATTTATTAAAACAGTTATCTAAAACGCGAAATAACGTCTAAAATTCGTTTTCTAACATTGCTTTTTTATAATGCAAAAATGTGACGTCGAACATCTGACCCCCCCCCCCCCTCCCCCTCATCACACATCGTCACAAAATTACGGACCCCCCCCCTCCCCCCTTCGAGTGTGACGTCATTTATGGATGACCCCCTTATCCTACATTTATACAAACCCAGAAAGACCTTATTCCACATTTATACAAACCCAGAAAGACCCTTATCCCACATTTATACAAACCCAGAAAGACCCTTATCCCACATTTATACAAACCCAGAAAAAAAACCTTATCCCACATTTATACAAACCAAAAAAAAAACCTTATCCCACATTTATACAAACCCAGAAAGACCCTTATCCCACATTTATACAACCCCAAAAAGACCCTTATCCCACATTTATACAAACCCAGAAAGACCCTTATCCCACATTTATACAAACCCAGAAAGACCCTTATCCCACATTTATACAAACCCAGAAAGACCCTTATCCCACATTTATACAAAACTAGAAATACACTTAGCCCACCTGTTTAAAAATCCTCCGTTTCCATCCCGCCCCAACTCAACATCGCCAACCTCTTTGCATGCAACACTTGAATGAACTTTCCATGCATTATCTTCTCTGTACATTTTTTGAAACAAAGTGTCGACTATTTCAGTCCGATTTTTTATTTATTTCAGTACATCGCCCATAAACAAGTGTTTGCATGTTTCAAGTTTACACTAAGTTTCTCAGTAACTCTCAACGTCATCAGTTTGTGTGTAACGTTCTGTTTGTGAACTTTCCAAAGGTTAAACAAGGATAATTTAGACGACAGAAGCTGTGCAGAAAATGTAATTAAAGGGACGCTTTAAAATTTAACATGGACATAATTACATGAAGCTATTGCGTTCTGCTAGTGGCAGTCAGGTCGGCTTTAATTAGCAAAATCAAGAATTTGATAGTAGGCTATAGGGGCTGTTGAGTAGGCTATAGGGGCTGTTGAGTAGGCTATAGGGGCTGTTGAGTAGGCTATAGGGGCTGTTGAGTAGGGTATAGGGGCTGTTGAGTAGGCTATAGGGGCTGTTGAGTAGGGTATAGGGGCTGTTGGGTAGGGTATGGGGGCTGTTGAGTAGGGTATAGGGGCTGTTGAGTAGGGTATAGGGGCTGTTGGGTAGGGTATAGGGGCTGTTGGGTAGGGTATAGGGGCTGTTGAGTAGGGTATAGGGGCTGTTGAGTAGGGTATAGGGGCTGTTGGGTAGGGTATAGGGGCTGTTGAGTAGGGTATAGGGGCTGTTGGGTAGGGTATAGGGGCTGTTGGGTAGGGTATAGGGGCTGTTGAGTAGGGTATAGGGGCTGTTGAGTAGGGTATAAGGGCTGTTGAGTAGGGTATAGGGGCTGTTGAGTAGGGTATAGGGGCTGTTGAGTAGGGTATAGGGGCTGTTGAGTAGGGTATAGGGGCTGTTGAGTAGGGTATAGGGGCTGTTGAGTAGGGTATAGGGGCTGTTGAGTAGGGTATAGGGGCTGTTGAGTAGGGTATAGGGGCTGGTGAGGAATAAATACTCGACTTGTGTCAATGAAATAATTATGTCAGCTATGCCAGAAACAACTTTGTGTTTACAAAGAAACATTTACAGGATGTGGACATACAAAACATGTAGACCCTGAAATCGATTCCATCTTTCTTGTGTACTAGTGTACGCACAAAAGTACTGGTGTACACACAAAAGTACTGGTGTACACATAATGTACTGGTGTACACACAAATGTACTGGTGTACACACAAAAGTACTGGTGTACACACAAAAGTACTGGTGTACACATAATGTACTGGTGTACACACAAATGTACTGGTGTACACACAAAAGTACTGGTGTACACACAAATGTACTGGTGTACACACAAATGTGCTGGTGTACACACAATGTACTGGTGTACACACAAAAGTACTGGTGTACACACAAATGTGCTGGTGTACACACAAATGTGCTGGTGTACACACAAATGTGCTGGTGTACACACAAATGTACTGGTGTACACACAAAAGTACTGGTGTACACACAATGTGCTTGTGTACACACAATGTACTGGTGTACATAATATACTAATGAATGCTACTTACAAAATTATCGGTTCCTCCATGGGAATGCTAACATTAAAAAAACGTATTTTGTCTATTGCTTTACAGTAATTGTTTGTTGTTTAAATTTATGTTTAAAACACTACTAATGTGTTTCTGTTTAGTTTACACCAAGGTTGGGATCTACATAGTGAAGCAGTGGCGTAGCGAGGTCGGGTGTCACCCGGTGCGGCACTTAATGGTGTCACCCCCCCCCCCAGAGGCATAGAGACCCTTCCCAGGGACAAACTTTCAAATTTTCGATTTGCACCCCCCCTCAAACTTTCGATTTGCATCCCCCCCCCTCAAACTTTCGATTTGCACCCCCCCCTCAAACTTTCGATTTGCACCCCCCCTCAAGTTTTCGATTTGCACCCCCCCCCCCTCAAACTTTCGATTTGCACCCCCCCCTCGAGTTTTTCTCTATATATTTTGCTATTTTTTTGCCTTGGTGTCACCCCCCTAAATGGTGTCACCCGGTGCGGTCCGCACCCCCCGCCCCCCCCCCCTCGCTACGCCCCTGTAGTGAAGCAAATTCATATTTAGAGATTTAAAAAATAAGCAACCAATATCGATAATTTTCAATTAGTTTTTTATAAGTATTTATAATCAAGAAATTTAAATTTAAAAAAAAATTGTTTCAAAGCTATTAAATCCATTTTTTTTAGAAAAAAAAAAGATTCGTGGAGTGTTTATAAAGATGTTAAAAAATAAATGGTATGGTAAGTTTCAAGTATCCTACTACCGGGAAGATCCAACCCCCCCCCCCCCCCCCCCACCCCCACCCCCTCCAACCGAAAACATTGTCTAGAAGAAACCCTGGATGTCAGTCATATGTGGCCTATAATTGATCAAGAGAGTGTATAGTCTAGATGATTAGGTTTTTTAAAATTCAAGCTTTAAAGATCTTAATGGTATTAATTGATATTATTATATAATAATAAATATATTTTTTTAAACTGATAAAAATGATAACTCTTATCAGATTTTTGAAACTTAAATTGTAATTAACTAAGAAGTAATCAATCGTTACTACATTAGTAGTAGCCCTAACGTTGAAAAACAAGCTAAAGGAATTGAATTAACATTAAATTTATTCGTTAAATATTGTTTAAAATGTATAATCTTTGATTGAAATTGAAACAACCTATCTTATATAAGAGTTACATTAAAAATTGTTCTTACAAAACGATCATTGTAAAATAATGTGATGCCTTACTGATATATTTTCCACAAACACTCTATTTTTCAGGATGGGGAACCCCCATGATTCTTCTTCTTACCATGGCCATTCTTCTCTTTATTTTGTTGATCATTTGTATTCTTCTAATCATCGACAGATACAGAGGTAAGTTATTTCCTTTGTGTTTTACCTGTGATTACGGCATATTAAAGAATACACTCATACAAGCATCCACACATTCTTTATACATTTTTATACATTTTACATGGAACAGAGCATTGTTTAATCTGGTGTTCTTTCAATGGAACATTGTATAACCTAGTGTTCTTTCAATGGAACATTGTATAACCTAGTGTTCTTTCAATGGAACATTGTATAACCTAGTGTTCTTTCAATGGAACATTGTATAACCTAGTGTTCTTTCAATGGAACATTGTATAACCTAGTGTTCTTTCAATGGAACAGAACATTGTATAACCTAGTGTTCTTTCAATGGAACATTGTATAACCTAGTGTTCTTTCAATGGAACATTGTATAACCTAGTGTTCTTTCAATGGAACATGTATAACCTAGTGTTCTTTCAATGGACCAGAACATTGTATAACCTAGTGTTCTTTCAATGGAACATTGTATAACCTAGTGTTCTTTCAATGGAACATTGTATAACCTAGTGTTCTTTCAATGGAACATGTATAACCTAGTGTTCTTTCAATGGACCAGAACATTGTATAACCTAGTGTTCTTTCAATGGAACATTGTATAACCTAGTGTTCTTTCAATGGAACAGAACATTGTATAACCTAGTGTTCTTTCAATGGAACATTGTATAACCTAGTGTTCTTTCAATGGAACATTGTATAACCTAGTGTTCTTTCAATGGAACATTGTATAACCTAGTGTTCTTTCAATGGAACATGTATAACCTAGTGTTCTTTCAATGGAACATTGTATAACCTAGTGTTCTTTCAATGGAACATTGTATAACCTAGTGTTCTTTCAATGGAACAGAACATTGTATAACCTAGTGTTCTTTCAATGGAACATTGTATAACCTAGTGTTCTTTCAATGGAACATTGTATAACCTAGTGTTCTTTCAATGGAACATGTATAACCTAGTGTTCTTTCAATGGAACATTGTATAACCTAGTGTTCTTTCAATGGAACATGTATAACCTAGTGTTCTTTCAATGGAACATTGTATAACCTAGTGTTCTTTCAATGAAACATTGTATAATCTAGTGTTCTTTCAATGGAAGATTGTATAACCTAGTGTTATTTCAATGGAACATTGTATAACCTAGTATTCTTTTAATGGAACATTGTATAACCTAGTGTTCTTTCAATGGAACATTGTATAACCTAGTGTTCTTTCAATGGACCAGAACATTGTATAACCTAGCGTTCTTTCAATGGAACATTGTATAACCTAGTGTTCTTTCAATGGAACAGAACATTGTATAACCTAGCGTTCTTTCAATGGAACATTGTATAACCTAGTGTTCTTTCAATGGAACATGTATAACCTAGTGTTCTTTCAATGGAACATTGTATAACCTAGTGTTCTTTCAATGGACCAGAACATTGTATAACCTAGCGTTCTTTCAATGGAACATTATATAACCTAGTGTTCTTTCAATGGAACATTGTATAACCTAGTGTTCTTTCAATGGAACATTGTATAACCTAGTGTTCTTTCAATGGAACATGTATAACCTAGTGTTCTTTCAATGGAACATTGTATAACCTAGTGTTCTTTCAATGGAACATTGTATAACCTAGTGTTCTTTCAATGGAACAGAACATTGTATAACCTAGTGTTCTTTCAATGGAACATTGTATAACCTAGTGTTCTTTCAATGGAACATTGTATAACCTAGTGTTCTTTCAATGGAACATTGTATAACCTAGTGTTCTTTCAATGGAACATTGTATAACCTAGTGTTCTTTCAATGGAACATTGTATAACCTAGTGTTCTTTCAATGGAACAGATCACTGTAAAAGCAAAAAACGCGTTGACCGACTGGCCAGGAAGAAAAACGGAGGTAAAGAAAAAGCCCCAGAGATGGAGCCTCGACCACTCCCATCCCCACCGTCGTGGACTTACCCAGAGGCGGTGGGCTCACCCACACCCAGAAGTCCTTACAATCGTCTGCGCTTTGGTGGCGTGGGAAGAAACTTAAAAGGTTTGTTCGTTTCTTGTAGAACACAAACAATGTCTGTATTTCTTGTAGAACACAAATAACGTATGTATTTCTTGTAGAACACAAATAACGTCTGTATTTCTTGTAGAACACAAATAACGTATGTATTTCTTGTAGAACACAAATAACGTATGTATTTCTTGTAGAACACAAACAATGTCTGTATTTCTTGTAGAACACAAATAATGTCTGTATTTCTTGTAGAACACAAATAACGTATGTATTTCTTGTAGAACACAAATAACGTATGTATTTCTTGTAGAACACAAATAACGTATGTATTTCTTGTAGAACACAAATAACGTATGTATTTCTTGTAGAACACAAACAATGTCTGTATTTCTTGTAGAACACAAATAATGTCTGTATTTCTTGTAGAACACAAATAACGTATGTATTTCTTGTAGAACACAAATAACGTATGTATTTCTTGTAGAACACAAATAACGTATGTATTTCTTGTAGAACACAAATAACGTATGTATTTCTTGTAGAACACAAATAACGTATGTATTTCTTGTAGAACACAAACAACGTCTGTATTTCTTGTAGAACACAAATAACGTATGTATTTCTTGTAGAACACAAACAACGTCTGTATTTCTTCTAGAACACAAGCAGAATATGTATTATTTCAGTAAAGATAACCCAGTGTTCTAATGGCGACAAACTTTACGACAAAATGTTTTGATAAGGACGGATATATACATAGCCTATATATATATATATATATATATATATATATATATATATATATATATATATATATATATATATATATATATATATATATATATATATATACATATATATACATAGCCTAGATGTATATATATATATATATATATATATATATATATATATATATATATATATATATATATATATATATATATATATATGTATATATATATATATATATATATAGAGAGAGAGAGAGAGAGAGAGAGAGAGAGAGAGAGAGAGAGAGAGAGAGAGAGAGAGAGAGAGAGACAAAAAGAAATATGTTTAAAAAAGAAACTTGGTTTATGTGTCTGTTTTCATCAGACGATATAGGATACGACTCCGATGCCAGCATGAACTATTGCAAGCCATTTGACGATATAGGGGAGATAGCCCAGGAAAAACCACCTTTTCAGACGTTTGGGAAGCAGTCATCTCCCATATACGCTACAACACCAACTATTTTAACTGCTTAAGTCTGCCTGTTGGATGAAAGAAAACATGTATTAAATAAGATGAGCATAAATGTTGAGATGTAGAATGTTTGTTTCTTTATGTGCTAGTATTTGTGGTGACTTTATTGTTCGCTGTGGGGAAAAAATACTTCTTCAGAAAAATAATCAACCCTTGTTTTAAATGTGTTTTTTTCAAAGCGATCTATGTTATTTTTTATGATAAAATGCTAACATTTCAGTATTTCTGAATTTAAAACAAAAATAAATAAAGATTGAGTTTCTTGTTTTTTATTGAATGTATAAACACAGTAATACTCTAGTTGATTCAAAAGTCTGCCAATGTGATCTAACTTATAAACACAGTAATACTCTAGCTGATTCACGTCTGCCAATGATGCTAGTACTGATTCAGAACTAGAGAAGCTGTCTTAACATTACCAATAAGACGAAGGCTTTATGGAACAAAGTTAGACTACAAGTAACACATACATATCAAGTTTTAGTGCATTAAATAGGACGCCTATTTTAACCCAATAATTTGGTTGAACTAAAAGATTTGGAAGGAAATTTAAAAATTTGTTGTTGTTGTTCTGTGTATCCTTATTTTTTCAGTTATTAGGTGTCATTCATAAACGGCTAAAAAAGCTTTTTAAAAAATTGCCCTTTGCCCCCCCCCCCCCCCAACCCATCGACACAAAAGATTACTGACGTTACCTCCTTCTGAAAATTAAATTTTGTTTCAAACATCGATTTCTTTCAAAACTATTTCCTAAGTTCGGTCTACATTGAGCATTCATACCAATTTTTTTAGCTTTTGCAAAAAAAAATAATAATTTTAAACGCAAAATAACTGCTAACATTCAGTTATAGTTTTAACTGAAGTTGACACCAAATATTTTCGAGATTTTCTAATGACAAGGCCAAAAACAAACCAGACTCTACTTATTTTCTTCTTTTTATTCTCTTGGCGTAGGAAACACTTGGTCAAATAACATACCACTACCAGTGAGATCTCATTGAGACATATAACACAACAGTTTAAACAGAGGCAAATCATACTCTGACGCTAGAGAAATTGCATCATAACATAATAGGAATTATTATTATTATCATAAAAACAACATGTGGACAAACCACCTATGGTCAAACCACCTATGGTCAAAGCCACTATGGTCAAAGCACCTATCTACGCTTTCTTTTTCAAATATCAGAGCTTGATCAATATATATATATATATATATATATATATATATATATATATATATATATATATATATATATATATATATATATATATATATATATATATATATATATAATGATGGAAAAAATGTTAACCTCCCCCGCCCCATGAGACGATCCTGGCAACGCCACTGTGGAAACCTAAGGGCAGCTGGGCATAGAACTGTCACCATAACTTGCATGTGCCGAGGTTACAGAAACAGACTAACTCTACTGCATCTGCCAATAGATCACCAGATCTGTAAAGATAACTCTTCAGCTGGGGGGGTGGGGGGTGAATTATGTGCACACTCTCTTTGAATTTAATCAGTGTAGAAAACAGAAATTACCATCCTCACCCCCCCCCCCCCCTTTATCAATTCCCTTCCTCTCCGTCTGCTACAACACAGAGATCTTCCTTGCAACAAGTATACTGACACATAAAGGAATGCATAACCCCCGACAGATGACCTTTAACCCCTGAAAGTTTTGTCAACTTGCACGTCAGCCGTGCGATTCATCCATACAGTGGTTTAGATAACTAAGTATGTCACCAGGGTGTGCTGACCTACAGGTGTGTAGTCACAGAAAGGAAGTTCCAAGTGCCTACAATGGGAAAGTAAGTCCGACGCTTGATGTGGGTTTTATTTTAATGTTTCAAACAAATGGTCGCTTTAATAAAGATTGTTTCAAGAAATGCTATATCAGTGAGCGTTTGAAAAATCGTAGGCTTGTTGAAGAAAACCTTCAACACACACATACTGCAAGTGTAACAACACTAGATCTAAACTCCTCGACTCTATGTGGACTACATGCAATATGGTATGTTGTTTTTTTTTTATTATATGATAATTGTTATTATATCGATTACAAACGTATGGCACAAAAGCCGTTTTTTTAAACATATACATTTTTAGATCTATTACAATATTACTACAGCTTACATGATATATAGATATAGATATAGATCTATCTCGTTTTAATCAATTCTTTAATTCATTCAGGAAAAAAAAAAATAGTAACACATACTCACATGCTTATACTTATAGTTATACACATACGTACACGTGCATGTGCCATTTCTATGCCTAAATATAGGCCTATCTACACAATTACATATATCCTTGACTCAAGGCTTGAGGGGGTGACACTATAAAGTGCGGCACCGGATGACACCCGACTTTTGTGTAATCATAAACTATTGTAGTGCTTTTGTGTAATCATAAACTAGTGTAGTGCTTTTGTGTAATCATAAACTAGTGTAGTGCTTTTGTGTAATCATAAACTAGTGTAATGCTTTTGTGTAATCATAAACTATTGTAGTGCTTTTGTGTAATCATAAACTAGTGTAGTGCTTTTGTGTAATCATAAACTAGTGTAATGCTTTTGTGTAATCATAAACTAGTGTAGTGCTTTTGTGTAATCATAAACTAGTGTAGTGCTTTCGTGTAATCATAAACTAGTGTAGTGCTTTTGTGTAATCATAAACTAGTGTAGTGCTTTCGTGTAATCATAAACTATTGTAGTGCTTTTGTGTAATCATAAACTAGTGTAGTGCTTTTGTGTAATCATAAACTAGTGTAGTGCTTTTGTGTAATCATAAACTAGTGTAGTGCTTTTGTGTAATCATAAACTATTGTATTTGAAACAAACGAGACTTTCTAAATATTATTCACACCGTCAGTATTCCAAAATACGCTTCAGTGTGATGATGTCAAATTGAAAGCATAAAAAAACGTAGTAAACAAATAAACAAGCTAATGTTTTGAAAGAAAAGAACAATTACATTTCACATAAAGGCCTATATAAAAAGAATCAGCGAGAAAGGAGCGCTTTGAATCAAAATATTTGTATATAAGTATAATACAAGAAAGAGCTTAGTTTATGGTGTAAGCACAGGTAAAAGTATATATTTTCTATATATATTCTATTTCGATCGGGGGAGGGGAGGGTTAAACATTCTTCGAGGGCAGCATTTCTTCCAGACTTTTTTCTCCTAGTAAAAGTGTATGTTTACAATATAAATTTCCATCTCGTTCGGTGGGGGGGGGTAGACTTTCTTCGGTCCCCCCCGTCCCCCCGAAGAGATGCCTGGAAGAAACTCTGGACCAACTGTACATCCTGTAGCCTTGAGATCAGAGTTTCTTCCAGGCATCTCTTCGAGGGTGGGGGGCGAAGCCCCCCCGAAAATTTTTTACCGCCCCCCCCCCCCCCCCCCCCCCCGAACGAAATGAAATTTATATAATTTATATTAGAAAATATATACTTTTAACAGTGTCCGCCCCCCCCCCCCCCCGAAGAAAGTCTACCGCCCCCCCGAAAATTTCAAGTGCCCCCCCCCCCCCCCCGGAGAAAAAAGTCTGGAAGAAACACTGCTTGAGATACTTTTGGTCTGCCAATTTCCCACAGTAGATTTGCGCCTGGTAAGTCTCTCTGTGGCGCACAAGGAGCATCAATACATCGCAGTTCAATAATCTCACTGCTAGCTGTTCAATAATCTCACTGCTAGCTGTTCAATTATCTCACTGCTAGCTGTTCAATAATCTCACTGCTAGCTGTTCAATAATCTCACTGCTAGCTGTTCAATAATCTCACTGCTAGCTGTTCAATAATCTCACTGCTAGCTGTTCAATAATCTCACTGCTAGCTGTTCAATAATCTCACTGCTAGCTGTTCAATAATCTCACTGCTAGCTGTTCAATAATCTCACTGCTAGCTGTTCAATAATCTCACTGCTAGCTGTTCAATAATCTCACTGCTAGCTGTTCAATAATCTCACTGCTAGCTGTTCAATAATCTCACTGCTAGCTGTTCAATAATCTCACTGCTAGCTGTTCAATAATCTCACTGCTAGCTGTTCAATAATCTCACTGCTAGCTGTTCAATTATCTCACTGCTAGCTGTTCAATAATCTCACCGCTAGCTGTTCAATAATCTCACCGCTAGCTGTTCAATTATCTCACCGCTAGCTGTTCAATAATCTCACCGCTAGCTGTTCAATTATCTCACTGCTAGCTGTTCAATAATCTCACCGCTAGCTGTTCAATAATCTCACCGCTAGCTGTTCAATTATCTCACCGCTAGCTGTTCAATAATCTCACTGCTAGCTGTTCAATAATCTCACTGCTAGCTGTTCAATAATCTCACCGCTAGCTGTTCAATTATCTCACTGCTAGCTGTTCAATAATCTCACTGCTAGCTGTTCAATAATCTCACCGCTAGCTGTTCAATAATCTCACCGCTAGCTGTTCAATAATCTCACCGCTAGCTGTTCAATTATCTCACCGCTAGCTGTTCAATAATCTCACTGCTAGCTGTTCAATAATCTCACCGCTAGCTGTTCAATAATCTCACCGCTAGCTGTTCAATAATCTCACTGCTAGCTGTTCAATAATCTCACTGCTAGCTGTTCAATAATCTCACTGCTAGCTGTTCAATAATCTCACTGCTAGCTGTTCAATAATCTCACTGCTAGCTGTTCAATAATCTCACTGCTAGCTGTTCAATAATCTCACTGCTAGCTGTTCAATAATCTCACTGCTAGCTGTTCAATAATCTCACTGCTAGCTGTTCAATAATCTCACTGCTAGCTGTTCAATAATCTCACTGCTAGCTGTTCAATAATCTCACTGCTAGCTGTTCAATAATCTCACTGCTAGCTGTTCAATAATCTCACTGCTAGCTGTTCAATAATCTCACTGCTAGCTGTTCAATAATCTCACTGCTAGCTGTTCAATAATCTCACTGCTAGCTGTTCAATAATCTCACCGCTAGCTGTTCAATAATCTCACCGCTAGCTGTTCAATTATCTCACCGCTAGCTGTTCAATAATCTCACCGCTAGCTGTTCAATAATCTCACTGCTAGCTGTTCAATAATCTCACTGCTAGCTGTTCAATAATCTCACTGCTAGCTGTTCAATAATCTCACTGCTAGCTGTTCAATAATCTCACTGCTAGCTGTTCAATAATCTCACTGCTAGCTGTTCAATAATCTCACCGCTAGCTGTTCAATAATCTCACCGCTAGCTGTTCAATAATCTCACCGCTAGCTGTTCAATAATCTCACCGCTAGCTGTTCAATAATCTCACCGCTAGCTGTTCAATAATCTCACTGCTAGCTGTTCAATAATCTCACCGCTAGCTGTTCAATAATCTCACCGCTAGCTGTTCAATTATCTCACTGCTAGCTGTTCAATAATCTCACCGCTAGCTGTTCAATAATCTCACCGCTAGCTGTTCAATTATCTCACCGCTAGCTGTTCAATAATCTCACTGCTAGCTGTTCAATAATCTCACCGCTAGCTGTTCAATAATCTCACCGCTAGCTGTTCAATTATCTCACTGCTAGCTGTTCAATTATCTCACTGCTAGCTGTTCAATAATCTCACTGCTAGCTGTTCAATAATCTCACTGCTAGCTGTTCAATAATCTCACTGCTAGCTGTTCAATAATCTCACTGCTAGCTGTTCAATAATCTCACTGCTAGCTGTTCAATAATCTCACTGCTAGCTGTTCAATAATCTCACCGCTAGCTGTTCAATAATCTCACTGCTAGCTGTTCAATAATCTCACCGCTAGCTGTTCAATAATCTCACCGCTAGCTGTTCAATAATCTCACCGCTAGCTGTTCAATAATCTCACCGCTAGCTGTTCAATAATCTCACTGCTAGCTGTTCAATAATCTCACCGCTAGCTGTTCAATTATCTCACCGCTAGCTTGTTTAATAAACTTTATGATTACATCATAAACTAAGCTCTTTCTTGCGTCATACTTTTATTTTTAAAAAAACATTTTACTTTACAGCATTAGTTTCTCTATGTTCTTTAAGGTCAAGCGATAAATTAAGCTCTCTCCATACATTTATTCTTGCCCTCGCCGTTTGGTCTCGTATGCACTTGCCGGTTGTTTTTTTACGAGAATTTTATATGATCAGCCATATACACAGGCCTAGTTAGTGTCGGCTGCTAATAAGACGATGGTGAGATTTTCAGGAGTTGTTTTTCGTGAGTTTTTCGTGTTTTTTTTTTTTAATCTGTTAGTCGATTTCTCAATGTCATTAATTAAGCTCTTTAAATTTGTTATGTCAAAGCCTTTTTTTTTTTTATAATTTATGCTGGCCGTTTTGTCTAGTCCATCTGTGACGAGTGTACATTTTTCGAAGCCCAATTTTGTGTTTTCGGACTACAGTCGCTATCGAAATACTATCAAAGCCAAATTCAAGAAAATTAAATTTTGAAATTAATTTTATTTACGTTCGGATTTTGGACACTTTTAATTGACTGCTCCCGCCACTACCCCCCGCATTTTGGTTTTCCGCCGCACGGTTTAAGTTCCGCTACTTCTCTGTAGTGACGTACAGACAATCTGTGTGCTGTAGGCCTATTTCTTAGAAAAACAAATGTTCCGGGTGGATTTAGATCTAGATCTAGACCTCTCTAGTGCTCTTTCACTAGTCGTGCGTGTCCTGTATGATAGGGTTTCCCCAGTAAGCTAAGGAGTTTATTTTTAAAGCAGTTCCTGAAACCTGCGCACAGGCCCATTTCTTTCTTCATAGTGTGGCGACTACATAAATTATAACACATGGACGTGAGGTAGGATACTACCCTTACACTTTACACACTATGCCCAAGGCATAAGCTTATTTAATTGTGATGTGAAAATTCAAATTTTACTATTTAGTAAAAAATAGGCCTATTTTATTTTCTAAAAATTTTACTTATCATTTATATTTTAATTTATGTGTGTGTTCATTTTATAATTTAGCCTTCAATTCATTCATGGCTATTATTACTAGATTCTACATATTACATATTGATGAGTTATTTTGTAGATTAGTAAAATGTCAGTATTCGTAATAAAATACCGATAAAAAAAGAAACAAGTAGCCTATAGTCACTATAGTGGCTATAGGGCCTAAATAAATAAATGAAGATTAAGCCTTAGTTTTGGATTTAAACAAATGGTGATTAATAAAAATGGACATAGCAAAAGAAAGAATGAGAACAGTGTTTCTTCCAGACTTTTTTCTCTGGGGGGGGGGGGGGGGCACTTGAAATTTCCGGGGGGGGGGGTAGACTTTTTTCGGGGGCGGACACTGTTTAAAGTATATATTTTCTATATAAATTTCATTTCGTTCGGGGGGGGGGGGGGGGGGGTAGAATTTTTTTTGGGGGGGCTTAGCCCCCCCCCCCCTGAAGAGATGCCTGGAAGAAACTCTGAATGAGAACTAACTAAAATTAAAATGTCATTACGTAGGCCTATAGCTCCCTCAATGCAGTTGTGAACTTCATTTTCAATTTTATGTTCAAACTATAGATCTAGATCTACACATTTAGATCTAGTCTACCTCCCTTACTTCAACTTTATTAATGCAGTCCTATTTATTAGGCAAGAGATTACTGTAAATTGCCCACAATTTTGTGAAGGTTCTTATTTGTGTGTGTGTGGGAGGGGGGGGGGGGGGGCGCTTCGTTTTAAAGCACATTTCATGTTTGAGAAAAGGTGTGTAGAAATAATTTTTAACTTTATTTAGTGTAACGTCTTTATGTGCTTCAATAAGTATAGATTATAGATAATTAAACTGTAACATAACATAAATTATTTCTTGCAGGCTAAGTCACGTGTCCCACATGAAATATTTAAAAAAAAAAAAAAGAAACTAAGGCCTAGCTTCTATTTAGTTTTTTTTTTACCCTTGCTTTCTTTGGATGTCACTGATGGTAAATAGGACCATACAGAACTAACCTCTTGTTTTTGTCTTGGTTCATTTCCTTGGTTCATATATATATATATATATATATATATATATATATATATATATATATATATATATATATATATATATATATATATATATATATATATATATATATATATGATAGTCCCTTTATTTTTTCTATAATTTGTTTATAAGTTTTAAATTTAAATTGTTATTTTTTGTATTTGATCTTCAGATTTGTATTTTTAAAAATAATTCTATGTTTATGTTTCCTCATCAGATTATTCTCCTCATGGTACAATTCAACACTAGATAAGCTCATCATGAATTACCCAAGGCTAACTAGATTAGTTTGTAAACTAAATATATAGGCCTACAATTGAGAAAGAAGTAAAGTTGAAAACAATATGTATATTATATAGGCCTATTTTATTATACAATGTGTTTGAGAAAGAGAAATATGTCTAGACTAGACATTTTTAATACACTGTAATATAAAAGAACATAAAATAATCAATAGTTTTATCCATCTCTAATCCATTTTAAAACTCAGTTTTAAATTTATTTTACTATGAAAGTAACTGAACAGAATGAGGGGCAAGATTGCCAATTATCAAAAGTTATAGGATTACTACTATCTGAAATCTGCACAAGAAACTAAACAATGTCGTCTGCATTGATTATTTGTCAAGATGGGGAGAAACAAAGTTTAAATGAATGGCTAAAAATTCACGGAGACAGGCTGTATCCAGGTGTTGGAACTAAAACCTGGAGAGTTCCACCTGTCAGATTTCATAATCAAAAAATTGTTTGTGAGAAGAGTTACAAAAGTTTTAAAATTTTAGGTGGGTATTTTTTTAATCATTGTGTGATAACAACATGCTTACAGTTTATTAATTAGTTTTTTATGTTAGTAATTCATGATAATCAATTCTTTCCTTTATTCCCTTAGCCTTTATTATTATCAAGAATATTGTTATTTTAGCCTCAATTGTAAGAATAACTTCTTTTGAAAATTTTAATTTTAAAATTCTTTTTACTTGGAAAATAAATTTTTTATTTAGAAAAGCCAGCGCAAACAGACCAAGAAACCAATTGTGCTGAAAATATTGTTTGTGGAGCTTTTGAAAAATTAAGTGACTGCTTAGTTAGAAGGTAAAGAATGCTTTTTTAGTAATAAATTTTATCTTATAAATGTATACATATTTGATTATGCCAGATAAATGAAGTTATGTGCTATTGTAACGTAAATTCTCAATTATTTGCTTGCAGGAGCTTAGAGCTCCCTTAAGGGTATGGGTGGATTATGAAAACCAAAATAACAAAAATGCTTATTTCTAAACCTAATGCTATAATATTTAGCATATAGTTGTGACTCAAAGAGTTAAGTCTAAAAAATTTTAAAAAATTATATATATATATATATATATATATATATCAATGATTTCTATTTGTTACCACAATAGCACTAACCCACCACCACATGAAAACAGAAAAATAGACAACTATCTACAACAACTAAAGTCCTTAGTCCGACTAATCTACTTTGTCTCTAACGGCCTATCTTAGCCTAGGTCTACTACAGTACAGACATCTCGTGGCTTGCCACCAGCTCACAGAGACGTCCCATGAGTCGCCCCACCCTAGCTATCCAAATGACTGTCCCCACTCTACCCCTCCTTATATAACGGTGCTTCTTTAATCGTCTCCGTCAAGACCTGTTTAGTCAGGTCACGTGTATCGTCAACCCTACACCTGTGATCTACCCTTCCCCTTACCCACTACTTTGTTTATGGGCTTCCCTTCGATAGGGCCAACCCAGGTAAAGATCCTGTGGGGTCATAACAATATATATATATATATATATATATATATATATATATATATATATATATATATATATATATATATATATATTTACACACATTACAGGCAATGTTTAAAAAGCATAATTCTATAGAATACCTAAGCAATGACGGAAATGGGTTGTCAAAGTTTGAAATGTCTATATTTCATACATTTTCTAGTCATTCTATGCAATACCAAATAACAATCATGCAGTTTAGAATAATGGCAAAATATCAAGGGTTATGGTTAAGGATTGGGTTAAGGATAGGTTTAACGTTAGATGTAGGGTTAGGGTTAGATTTAGGATTAGGACAAGTGTTAAGGTTAGGGTTATAAAGAAAATTAAGTGCAACAAATAGTAAGTGATGGCAGTTCTGATTCATTTGTTCTCTCAGTAAAGATTTCCTGTACTTCATTTTGTTTTTTTCTTTTATTTTTTTACTGTTTGTTATTTAAAACTTGCAATCAGGGCATTTCACACTTTGTCTGAGCAGTTTTTGGCATTCTAAACAAATAAAATATCAATGTTATTAAATACTTTTCCTAGGCATTACATTGGAGTATTTGTGGCTTGATGGTGCATCTTGTTGAAGTAAACTTGATGGAGTTGATGCCATCTACTGTTGTGTTCAAAGTACTTTGTACTATGAGTTGAGTAATGTAGCAGATTAGGCCCCAGTCACTGTATACTGAACAACAGAGAACACTTGCTGGTTGTATTACACAGATGTGAAATCATAAGCTCATGGGTTTTGGGTTTTTTTATTTTTCAAAGAGACCTAAAACTTGATACTCAACTGATTTGACAGGTAGCACAAACAGATTTATTATTTTAAGAGGAATTAATTAAGTAAACAAATTTTGATCATATGTTGGCGATTTTCAATAATCTGTTGCAGAAAGTCACTTTGGTGTTAGCAATATTCCCAGTGCTATTGTGCATAATTTGCCATCACTTCCTTAATTTTTAAAGAAAAACAGCTTTAATTTTTGTTTTCAAGCAAATAAATACATTTAATTGTCGGTGCAAAATTTTAAAAATCTTTAACATTTTTCTATCTCCTCATCTGAGCGATTTTTTTCTATAAAAAAGAAAGATTTGGTCTCTTTTAACAATCTGAGCATGTAACCTGTCTAGATTGGGAACCCCCTATGCCACTGTCCACTTGGTCCTGAACAATCCAGTCACTTGTTTTTACAAAATTCACAAATTATGCTTTACCCCATACTCATGCTTGTAAATAAAAGGGTTGTACATTTCAATTAGGTACAACCATAAAATAACAAATACAAATGTTTTGATTTAAAAGACCAATTACTTTATGTTTAAATTGTTAAAACAGCAATAGTTCTTTATATAACTTATATAAAATGTCCTTAGTTCTTAACCCTCATATGATATAACTTTTATAGAATTCCCCCATCCTCCTCTAAAAAAACCAAAGGAATTGTTTCATATCATTGCTCTATACTAGATCTACCACCTTACATTTAGGCAAATGATTCCCAAAGAAAAACTTAAAGTAACTCTTTTAAGCTTAAAAAATGATCAGTAATTTGCTTAAAAATTTAGAATGACATATGCAAATTTAATTACTTACACTTACAGAAGAGATTCAGCCATGTTTCTGGTGTCCAACTTTGAATATGATAACTATCTAAACAAAATAAAGATTCCTACAGGTAATATCAATAAGTTAAATACACTTTTCTAATTAAAACTTTTTTAGCAAGGTCTCAATAAAAAAAAACACCTCACACTAATTTATTTCTAAATAAATAAACTATCTTTTATTACATTTTAACTAATATGTATAAAAGTTAATATAATCAAAATGAACAAACATTGAAACATGCTCTATCATGTGTTTAAGAGCTACCAAAAGATGTTGCCAAAAGGGGAGAGTTGGATATTTTAATATTACACCAGAAAGCAGGAATTTTACTGGTCCAAACAAAAGCCGTAAGTTAGATTGTTTGTAAACAAAAAATTGCTCACCTTTTTAAACCTATTTCTAAAATATAATCAAATGATGTTTTAAGCACTTGTTATTTCTAAGGATTGTTAATTTTTCAATAAATTCTTTAATTTTACTAAGTTCTTGATTGGCTTATATAAAAACATTGTTATGCATATTTAGTTATTTCTATTTTACCAGTTCTGATTTGTTTATTTAGCATAATATGTCTAACAAGTTATATGTTACTGGTCATTTGGGGGTTAGGTAAGAATAGCCTAGAACTTAGGAGATAGTGCATGTGTGAGTTAAATTAACCGAGAGGTGTTTATGTATTTTTATCGATTATCCCCAAATAATATTTTATATTAACATGGATTAAGTTGATGTGCCAGATGTAGATTTTCTAAGTGTATCACCAATCCTCCATTTTCTTTAGAGAATTTTATTTATAGCAGACCTACATTCTGTTTACAGCCACATTTATATATAGCTTATAATGTTGGTCATACAATTGTATGGGTCAAGTCTATACTTTCTATTCATTTTTTACTAAGTTCCTCCATGTCTGGTCTCCCAACTGGTATTCACTAAAGCAGGTTTTACTCATGTCATGTTGAATACAGCACCCTCTATACCATAATTACATAAATTCTCTATTAAATGTCAGTACTAAATAATATCTTCTCACTAACTGAAATAGGTTGGATACAACTTTCCAAAGGGAGATAGTCTTGATGATGTTTTTGTTCCTGCAGTACAAAAAGCTATAGAAAAAGCTGGTGATCAACTCTCCCGTGATAGGCGTGTTATGTTGCATGTAATGCAAGATTTATATCTGACATCTGAACAGATGATCTCAATTGTAGCATTACCCAATCTACCCAGAAGATACTTAGAACAAGCACTTTTAAAATGTCCTGTATTAAAAAATGTGAGTAATCCCCCATGTTTTAAGAAAAAGGTGAACACATTTCAAAAGATTGTATAGTGTGTTGTATAAGAATTCTTATTTTATCAGTATAGTTTTCCTGCAATCTCTACTTTAACAGATTCTTTTTTATATCATTATTATTAATATTCATAGCCTGTAAAAAGTTTTCACCTATGTTAATCAACAAACAACTAAAAACATGTAACATAAGGGTAATAACTATTTTTGACAATTTTTAGAAAATTGAAGATGATTTCAAACTCAAGGCTGATATTAATTTCCTATGTGAGGAAGACTTTAGAGCTGAAGACTATGAGCACTTTAATGCATTAGAAAAATGGTGGACAGAAAAAGTAACTACTCAAGCAAACAGCCTAGATCTGGAAACAATGAAACAGATAGCTTACAGGTTTGTATAGTAAACACAATATCTGCCTTTACTAAGCTGATGGTCAACATTTCAAACAGAGTGGACTTTACCTGTTTTTTGTGTAAACGACGTTTAGAGTAAATGAAAATTTTAAAAAGCTTTAATCAACTTCTAATTCAATTTCAAAGCAAATTTTCCATGAAGTTTAGGTTTGAAAACAGAAAGATAGAATTGTTTTTGTATCTTATTTTTTATTTATTTCAGAACTGTTGGTCTATTGTCTACGGTTAGTGTGTGGTCTCATGTTCATCCAAGAATGGAAGTAAGAGATTTGAATGATGCTGCATGGGAAACAGGAAATAGGTTGGTTTTTGCTGGGGGTGGAGGGTCTTCCAAAATCTATATATATATAATTCTCTGCGTCGACACCTCTAAGCACGCAAGCTGATTCTCTAACCTTCCCTCGCTCTCCATGCAGGCGCAACAGACCATATCACTATCACCTCCATCACCAGTCTGTTGAGCTGTGGTTTAGACCGAATGTTTACAATCGTATAGCAGGGTCGAATTAGGGGCAGATAATTTAGTTTTTAAACGATTTGAAACTAAGGGGAGGTAACAAGATCTTTTCATTGCCATCGGTAAACTCATGACGGGACGGCTGCTGTCGCACGGAGGGGGGGGAGGGAGGGTGAGGATAATCATCCTTGTTAATTTATTAGTTTTCAGTTTGTAATTACAGCTTTTTCTTAAATAGTCCACATTGAATTATTAGTTAAGTTTCTTTGAATTAATTATGCTGTCCTGTGTTTGTGGTCTTGAAACTCAAGTTTTTCTTAGACCAAAAACATACTGGCTTGATAATGTAGACATTTAAAATAAGTTGGATTTAAATTGTTTCTGCTGGTCTGTTTTACAAAGTTCTAAACACTACAGGTATACTCAAGTAATTTTATCTCGTGACCAAGTGAACATTTTAAACCAGGAACATAAATATTTCTATCTCTGGGGACCAGCAGGCTCTGGAAAGACCCTGCTTCTTTCTTTGAAAGGTAAACTTAGAAATGTATTCTCCACAGTTCAGAACTAATGTATGATAAATTCTGATTCATATACCATCTCTATATTACTATTATTACACTTTCATTGAATAACCTGATGCTTCATTATTTATTAAAAATGTTCATATATTAGTATAGTCCTGCAAGTGGTTGATAACACAACCGGATCTAGAGAGAACTGTGAGGCAGATTTCAAACTCAAATTTATGTTATGCTAATCAACTTAAAATGATCAAACTTTTAAATAATTTTTATTGTTGCATTGTTAAGTTTTTAAAATGTATTTGTGTAGGTCGTCAGTGGCTAAGAAAAGATTACCAGGTTATTATACTGAATACAAGACTTGGATCTAAAGGTCGTACAGTTGGACATGTCATGGAGAGTCAGATAAATAAAACTCAAGGTGCTTATCATTTTTAACATCAACTGCTCAGAATTAAAATCTGATGCTCACTTTGTAACTATTGGTTTAATGAAACTCTATAAAGTTTTAATTAATCTTTTCTTAGCAAAACAGAACGAAGGATCTCATTAACTGATGTTAGTGACCTTGCTTGAGGTCTTTTCAATTTAACTTTAGTGACCTAAGTATTTGGTTGCCATCTTTAAACACTGTATGAAACAGATTTACATTAAAATTTATGTTGCTTTCCCTTTAGGACTCTCAAAGACTGCAGTTCGTGTTGACATAGATTTAGTTGACGATACAAAAACATTAATTGATGAACTAAAGCAATATCAAGCTACCAACTCCACTGTTAGGTTTCTTATTGATGAAGTGACATGGGTTCCAGAAACAGAGGAGTTAATAACTTTACTGAAAAAGTATTTTCCTCTCAGTGCAATCTGGTGTGCTGGCTTGTTGCAAGAATGTCAGCCCAAAGATTTTCAAAGTGAACAGCTTCTAGTAAGTCTCAATTTACAAAATGGATTGTTTACACAGTAGTTTTTAGGTGCATTTGCCAATGAGATTTGCTATATTCATGTAATCCTTGCATAATGAAGAAATAAGAAATTCTTGGCATTTCTCGTTATATTGTAGCCTACAAACTGATTAGTCGTTAGAGACTTAAAAATAATACTAAAATTGTTTAAATATACTCATTACTTTAAAAATGTATTAGACTTTGATAACTGATTTTTAATCATTTTCTTGTAGAACATCCTGCGATGTCCACCATCAGTGCAAAGGGTTCTTCGTTTAGTAGATAACAGGGAAGATCGCTGTGGCATGTATCATTTAAATGTAAGTAAACCGATATCACAACCTTTAGTAGATAACAGGGCAGATCTCTGTGGCATGTATCAGTTAAATGTAAGTAAACCGATATCACAACCTTTAGTAGATAACAGGGAAGATCGCTGTGGCATGTATCATTTAAATGTAAGTAAACCGATATCACAACCTTTAGTAGATAACAGGGCAGATCTCTGTGGCATGTATCATTTAAATGTAAGTAAACCGATATCACAACCTTTAGTAGATAACAGGGAAGATCGCTGTGGCATGTATCATTTAAATGTAAGTAAACCGATATCACAACCTTTAGTAGATAACTGGGCAGATCTCTGTGGCATGTATCAGTTAAATGTAAGTAAACCGATATCACAACCTTTAGTAGATAACTGGGCAGATCTCTGTGGCATGTATCATTTAAATGTAAGTAAACCGATATCACAACCTTTAGTAGATAACTGGGCAGATCTCTGTGGCATGTATCATTTAAATGTAAGTAAACCGATATCACAACCTTTAGTAGATAACTGGGCAGATCTCTGTGGCATGTATCAGTTAAATGTAAGTAAACCGATATCACAACCTTTAGTAGATAACTGGGCAGATCTCTGTGGCATGTATCATTTAAATGTAAGTAAACCGATATCACAACATTTAGTAGATAACAGGGCAGATCTCTGTGGCATGTATCAGTTAAATGTAAGTAAACCGATATCACAACATTTAGTAGATAACAGGGCAGATCTCTGTGGCATGTATCAGTTAAATGTAAGTAAACCGATATCACAACATTTAGTAGATAACAGGGCAGATCTCTGTGGCATGTATCATTTAAATGTAAGTAAACCGATATCACAACCTTTAGTAGATAACAGGGCAGATCTCTGTGGCATGTATCATTTAAATGTAAGTAAACCGATATCACAACATTTAGTAGATAACAGGGCAGATCTCTGTGGCATGTATCATTTAAATGTAAGTAAACCGATATCACAACATTTAGTAGATAACAGGGCAGATCTCTGTGGCATGTATCATTTAAATGTAAGTAAACCGATATCACAACATTTAGTAGATAACAGGGCAGATCTCTGTGGCATGTATCATTTAAATGTAAGTAAACCGATATCACAACGTGACAAAATTTTATGTAATATTTTGTAATTCAAATAGTTTAAAACAAAAGCAGTGACCACATATATCAATATGCCTATCACCTATCAGGTTTTTGGAACTATTACTATTAGGTCTGAAAAGAATCTATTTTCAGTGAAAATAGACATGAAGTTGTTATTTCTCCCTAACTCATGTTAGTTCTATGTACTATGTAATTGCTCATTGCTTTTACATTGTCTTGGGTCAATTTTTAAAGTCAAGTGTTTTTTTTTAACATTTTATTTGCTGATAAAGATAAATTGTATCAAAACTAATTAGTTGATGGGATGCTAAGATTGTTGGTCAAAATAGGAACCAAAATAATAATTACTTCATTAGTAGCTGGTAAACTTTAATTACAACCACCATCCATATTCTGAAATTTGTTGAGATATGCAAAATGACATGCCATGCCTTGATCTGTAACATGCCATAATACAAAAAGTTATTAAGTCCTACCTTTGAGTTTGATTATATGACCACTGATTTAAGGTTTAGACCCTTACTTTCTTAAATAAAATGAGTTACTTTGTTTGGTATAGTCCCCACTGAAAGATTTAAAGTTCAAGTGCATCTCCCTTGTTTGAATAAGGTTGGGGATGAATCTTGGTGTATAACTGTGGTATGTCCATTAAGGGGGGAATGCAAGATGTGTTCCAATTACAATATGCTCCCCATGTAAACAGCTTCATGATAATAAATGGTAACACTTTTTCAGAGTTCAAAAGCTGGGCTTCCAACTGATGGACCAGCGCCATATTTTATAATTCACTCTAGACATGGGTCACCTGGTGTACAACCTTATGACTGTAAACAGTGTGCTCAAGATCTTTCTGACTTCCTTTTAAATCATTTGAATATGAAAGACAATGTCAGAAACATTCAAGCAGACAATATTTCAACTCCAACTCCAAAATCAGCTAAAGATGGCCCCAAAACAATACCAAGTGCTAAATGTGGAGGTCGTTTGCATTTTAATGATGCAGTGCTTGCTGTCTCAATGCCTCAGTCCTGGCATCATCCTACTGACAGGGGATATTGGGCCATATCTAGAGAAGCTCTTCATTGGAATATGTTGCTCTTGGGTTTGTATAATCTTATCCACTATTTTTGTACCGGCCCTTTTATAAAATGGCGTGGCTTAGGCTCAGTTTTAAACAATAATGGGTACCAAATTAAACTTATATCATAAGCACTAAATAATACTATTGAAAGAAACATGCATTGAAGTAGAGCATATTTATATAATTACCAAGGTATGCAGTAACTTTGGTAATGCTTCATATGCATATCTTACATCCATAATTAGAACCTTAGATTTTCCATTATAAAATAAGATTAAGAATTACATCAGATTTTAATATCACTTCTTCTTCTTAGTGATATTAAAATCTTAGTAAGAAGTATTCTTCTTCTTCGTTCTTAATTTTTGAATATGGTAGAGGATTCAGACAACAAGTCCAACTTCGTGGACAAACCGGACTGTGGTTTCCAGTTTGTCAGGTGTCCCATATAATTTTTCCCTGAGTGGGGTGGGCTGGGGCCAGTGTCTGACTCTTGCCTGGCTATACAGAGTACATTCCTGGAGTACGTGCTCCGTGTTTTCCGGGGCCTTGCCACAAGGGCACATTTCGCTACACCCAACCTTCAATTTTTTGTGCATGTGTTGATTTAGTCTGTTGTGGCCTGTTCTAAGTCGAAAGAATATGTATTGTTGTTTTCGTGTTAAATTGTAATAGCCGTCATCTTTAATGTAGTGAGGGTGTGTGACAGACCACATTTGCGTTTGTTTGTTTTTAATTATTCTTTTTATTTCTTTTGGGTGTAGCGAAATTTCCGGTTGTGGTTTCTTTCCCCCAATTTTTGCCAGCTGGTCTGCGATCTCGTTACCCTGGATCTGGCAGTGGCCCGGGATCCACTGCAGCACAATTCTGCTGCAGGTATTTTTTAGCCTCTCTAGTGCTGTCATAAGTGTTTGAATATAGGACTCCGGATTTTGTAGGGATTGCAGGACTGATTTGGCATCTGTAAGAAATACAATCTGACTATTCGGTGATTCAGGGTGTTCTGACAGGAGGTTTGCTGCGTGTTCTAAAGCTTCTTTTTCTGCCCTAAAATTGTCGGATAGGCTTCCTGTGGCTATTGCCTTTTCCAGGCTTTCTCCGCTTGGCCATTCAATAAGGATGCCAGCCCCGCCATTTTTTGTGGCATCTTCAGCTGAGCCATCTGTGAAAACTCTAATCCAGGTATTGCTGGGGTACTGATCCTTAATGTGTTTATTTGTTATTTTCTTAAGTTCTTCTAGATCATAGTCAGATTTTTTTCCTATGGTGTCTATTGAGTCAATAATGGTTAAGTGACAGTGGGAGATCCAAGGCGGGGAGAGGTTTTGAGTTTTTATTGCTTCAGGAATGATATTTTCGATTTCATATTTCTTTTTCAGATTCTTTGCTTCTTTGATGAAACTTGTTCTTTGTAGTCTGGTTGATGGACTGGGTTTCTGGAGTTTTTGTTTTAGGTTATGGTTTTCCAGTGCCTCTAGCTTTGTGTATTGAGTGAGGATTTTTGATTCTCTTCTTTCTTCTATTGAGCTAAGAGCGGCTATTTCCTCCATAGCTTTTATGGGTGTTGTTTTCATGGCTCCTGTCATTATTCTCAAACCAATGTTCTGAACTTTGTCAATTTTGCTAACATTTGTTTTTGCTGCTGAGCCCCAAGCCGAAGCACCATATTCTAACGTAGGTCTCACATAGCTGGTGTAGGTTTTTTTCAGGATGTGGTGATTTGCTCCCCAGTCTGTTCCTGCCAGTTTCCTCATTAGATTAAGTCTTTTGATCCCATTACTTTGTGTGTTTTCTATTTGTTTTCTCCAGGTAAGTCGAGTGTCAAAAGTGACTCCTAGGTATTTGGGGTGGTCATTTTTTTCTAGCTCTTGGTTTTCTAGGGTAAGTTTCATTTTTTGATGTTTAGTTGATAAGGTGAAGATTGAATAAGTTGTTTTCTTGGTATTGATGGATAAGCCCCAGTTTTTGGTCCATTTGCCGAGCTTGTCAAGTGTTTCTTGAAGACGAAATTTTGAGGTACCAATATATTCCTCTGTGCTGATTAGTGAAAGGTCGTCTGCAAACATGCTTCTTTTTACTCTCCTTGGGATGTTTTCATTTAAGTCATTTATATAAATGAGGAAGAGAGTAGGAGACAAGACTCCTCCTTGAGGAACTCCATTTTTTATAGTTACTGTGTGACTTCTTTTTCCTTGCATGGAGACTGATGCTTTTCGGTTGCTTAGGTAACCTTTTATCCAGTTTAGCATGTTATGAGATACTTGATGGTTTATTAGCTTTAGAATTAAGCCTTGCTCCCAAACCTTGTCAAAGGCTTTTTCAAAGTCGACCCACACTATTGAGGTTGGTTTTTTTTCTTGAAAGCCATCTTCTATTTCCTGAGAAATGAAGGTGATTTGGTCTTCAGTAGATCTGCACTTCCTGAAGCCTGCCTGTTCGTCTGCTAGTAGATTGTTCGATTCTAGAAACCAGGTCAGTCTGTTGTTTACTACTCTTTCCATCAGTTTACAAACGCAGCTTGTTAAACTTATTGGGCGATAGCTATCGACTTTGTTCCTGGGTTTTCCTATTTTTAGAACAGGTATCATGATTGCTTTTTTCCAAATATTTGGGATTTTCCCAGATTTCCAGCTTGCATTAAATATTTGGAGCAGTTTTTTCTTAGCATTGGGGCCCAGGTGCATGAGCATATCATTTGAGATTTTGTCAGGGCCTGGAGCTTGCTTAAGTTTGAGGAGCTTCATTGCTTCTCCGAGCTCCTTCTTGCTAATTCGAGCTACCATTCCAGTGGAGGAGGGGGGAGAGACTTTCTGTAGTTTTTCTTTAACTTCAGTTTGATTTTTAACCTCTTCTACTCTTTGGTGGCTGATATTTATTTGTCCCACTTTGCTGAAGTGGGTTATAAATTCTTTTGCTGCATCCTTTTCTGTTTTGATCGTGTTTTCAATGTCGATGACTATGGGAGTAGCTCTGTTTTCTTCTTGGTTTAGCCTTTTTGCAATACTCCATAGTTTATGACCATCTCTATCTACATTGAGGTGTTCTGTTTTTTCTTGCCAGTTTTTCCTCAATGCAGTTAGATACTTTTTTCTAAAAAACTGCGTTTGCTGATTTTAATTTTATGTTATTTTCTACAGTGGGATTTTCTTCAACAATGTTTCTAGCATCAATTGTCTCGTCATGGAGTATCTGGAGGTCTGGTGTCCAGTTTGGGATATAATTTTTCCTTGCTCCCCTTGGAATAGATTTTTTGGCTGCTAACAGAACTGCTTTTGAGAAGGCTGTGTATGACTTGTTCACCTGTTTGGTTTTACAGTTGATTGGTCTTGTGTAGGAGTCTGTGAGGGAAGAGAAGAGCTCCCAATTAGCTTTTTTGTAGTTCCATCTAGGGCGGGGGTAGGCTTCAATTGGCCTGTTTGATGTTTCTATCTGGATCAGGATTGGTCGGTGGTCGCTAGTGGCTAGTTGATCTGCAACTTCTCTTTTGCATTTTTTGGATATGCCATTAGTAGCAAAAGCTAGGTCGGGGGTAGACGTGGTTAACCAAGACCTTGAGTAAAAAGTTGGTTTGTCATCAGGTTTATTTAGAAGGATGAGCCTATTTTCTGCTTGCCATTCTTCAATTTCCTCTCCTTTAACATTGAGGTCAGGGTAACCCCAGCTCTGGGAGTGGCTGTTCATGTCTCCCACAACCAGGCACTCTTCGCTGTTTGGCAGGGAGATGCGGTCCAGTTCCAGGTCCTTATCAGGAGGACAGTAGCAATTGAAGATATTTAGGTTACCTTCTGCAAGTATGAGTTTGGTGCCCATTATCTCAGATGCTGTTGAGTTTGGTATAACGATATCTGTTGTTGGAATGTCATTTTTTATGAGAATGAGGATACCTCCTTTAGGTCTGTTTTCCCTGTCCTGCCTTATGCAGGTGTATCCTCTAATAGAGAAGCGAAGATTGTTGTTGAGGTGAGTTTCTTGAATACAAGCAACGTCTACTTTATTTTCATGTAGGAATATTTTTAAGGCTTCCTTTTTTTTATGAACTCCCTCTGCATTCCACTGCAGGATAACAAGTAATTTGTTGTTTTCCTCACTATTTTGGCCAGTAGAATTTACCTTCTGATCCTTGCCCCTGGCTGGCCAGGCAAGAATAGAGGAACCACCAGCTCGCTTTTGTGGGCTCCTTCGAGGCGGAGAGCCCGGCCCCCTACCTGCGCGGCGGGATTCCACAGGCAGGACGCCACTTCTGTTAGTCCTATTTCTTTCCTCCATCATAAAATTAAGCAGTGCGTGCCAGCATGTTATGCGCCATACTAGATGGCCCGTCGACTCCGACTTCAGCCTGCTTTTCTTTCTGGATTTGCTTCCATAGCCTTTGATCACCCAAGAACAAACTACAAGGCAGTAGCTGTTTGATTTTGGAGTTGTCTCTCCTAGATGGGTTGCTGTCCCCAGCTAACGAGCCCCATCTGCCCGGGTTTGGAGTTATAGCGCCCCATGCTCGTTGTTGAAGTCATTTCCTTGGATTTATGAGATGTTTTTTATTAGATATCCTAACCAATGGATATCCCACCTCATCCTCCATGACCACAAACCAGTTGGTCCACGGCTGTTTATTTGGTATTGACAGCTAACCCTCATATCTAAGGGCCTCTCCCCTATCCGCCACCTGGGGACGCGCTCGGTAGGAGATGGTAGCTCCCCCAAGTAAGAAGTATTGAATTGCTCAGCTTGCATTTCAAATCATGCAGTTAGAATGCTGACTTGTGCGCTTATACTGTCTTGAGTGGTATAGAAACTAACAGTTGTGTGAATGAAAATATCTAAGCTAGGAAAATATTGTTTTTATACATCATTTATTGTATACTATTTTACTATATATAATATACATAAATAATCTTTTTCTATATTATTTAGTGAATTATAAGCCGAGATCCTATATCTTTTTAATGTCAACCGTGTTTGAGAAAAATAATTTATAAAATAGTTATTGGTCAAAACGCAATGTGATTTGCTACACATTGAATGATATTAGTGACAAAGCAAATGAATAACTAAATAACTAAAAACCGACACATTTAAATAACAAAGGCTATCAATACCTATTAGAAAAATTAATACTAAATTATATACAATATTAGTCAACACAACACCATATTAAATGCACACTATGATCAATGACACCATTAGTGTTGTGTACTTTCCGTAGTTTAAAAATGTGACATCATTGTTTGTGACAAGAACGCTTTTCCTGTTGCATAATTAAAAATGTGTTTCTGCATTCAAATATGCCTTATTTTTATTTTTAAAAACAAATTAGTTTATACATTTAAAACATCCAACATACTATTTTCAACAAAAGTATGTATCATTAAGTTCTCCATATATTGCTTAAGATACTGATCTCTTAGCCCCTGAAAATATTTTGTGGACAGAGAGATGTGTGCATATGGGCTTTTACATATTAGGATAAATATACACTCACACACACACACACACATATATATATATATATATATATATATATATATATATATATATATATATATATATATATATATATATATATATATATGCACACATATATATATACATACACACACATGTACACAAATATACATGTATTATTATTATTATTCACATAAATATACATGCAAATATACATATATATGCATATATAAACATGTAAATATGTATAACTAGCTGCAGTAGTAAAAATGGTGCAACACTAATGGATATCCATCTAGATTTCCCTTCTCTCATGGTGTGCTATAACCAGCTGACAAACAACACATTTTCCCGGGCATCACATCACACCTGTGAAGACAGTTGCTATACTGATTGATTGACAATACCTGGCTACTTATAGATATATACATATAAAGTATATATATATATAATATATATATATAGTATATATATAAATATAATATATATATATATATATTTATATATATATATATATATATATATATATATATATAAATATAAATATAATATATATATATATATATAATGTGCTGCCAAAAAAACACATGCAAAATTCAGACCAGTAAAAGTTGTAGATAATGTGCACACGCTTATGGCGCCAGATGTTGACAGCTGTCACAGGTGATCCACTAAGAGTTCTTGCAGTTATCATAAACCTCAAGGATGCCTTCTACAAACTAGTAATAGAACATGGTGTTTTCAAACAATTGTATTCCTGAAGTGAATTTTTCATTCTACATAAAAAAAACTGCCCACACTGGTGTCAATTGGCACTTCAGAAAAATCTTCACAAACCATCGTTACTACGCAACCACTGACTGGCGGCCAAGGCTACACTTGCTGCCAGTGTATAAATAACAAACTTCTTTGTTAAACAAAATGTCTGATGATAAAAAAGATTGCAACATTTAGTACAGTAAAGTAATTTAACTGTTTCTAAGATTTTCTTTTAACTAATTCAGACTTTGGCCAGTTGACCTTAGCCAGTTTGCAAACTGGTTTGTCAATGTCTGCAATCAAGAAAAATTTCAGATATTGACCATTCTCAGAGGGGATATTGGTCAATGTGCTAACTGGTCCACCAATTCCTACAGACATTTTGCTTGGGTCACACCTACAAATACATACACGCATACATCTATATATATATATATATATATATATATTACAGGTTCTGGGAAATTTTGCACTTTTCTTCTGGACCATGGTATACCACTAAGAGTAGAGGGTGCGATGACATTTACTCCAGATGGAACGGAGACAAATAACAGTTTTGCCATGTGTCCAATAGGATCAGTGCATGGGTTAGAATACAAGGTGAGCATGTCCAGGAAATATTAAAGAACTACATTTTAAAAGATTATTGAGATATCTTAGTTGTTACAACATAAATCTAACAGACATTAGTATTTAAAGGAAATATTGGCTGATATTATTTAAGCTTTAGAATCACACAGTTGGCAATTTTCAGCTTTTGCCATTAGACAAGTAGATTTACTTTTTTACATTCATCAAGAGCTAAGTACCCAGTCTAACTTTTTGGTTGGGATTTAAACTGATGATCCTTGTATTTTATACTTTAACAGGTGGTAGTCTGCATGCCAAGTGCTTGTGACCTTCCTCAAAATGTTGAGATCAACACCGGAATAGTTCAAGGACAGAAAGAACCAATTGTAAAAATGAGAAGACTCAAGTTTGCAGAAGAGATTATGCAACAAAGAAAAGAATTACTCAGACAAGGACTTGGCTTTTGTACATGCTTTCTGAAAAGGAACCCCTGGCACAGATGTGTGGACGACTCAAAGAAAGTGAAGATGACAGGTGCTTGTGAGTCCAGCCTGGAACCAAAGAGTGATAAAATCAGGATCTCCACTCATGTTCATGGGGACTATCAGTTAAATACAAGAGGGATTGAGCAACCACGTGATCTTCTGTATGAGGAGGTTGAGAGTGCTGAAAACCAAACTAAGTGTTCAGTTGGGGACATCTTGGTATCACCAGTCACACCAGAGAAGAATGATGAAGTGGACACAAACATAAAGCAAATCCCAGTGTCAACAGAGCACACACCTGATAAGTGTCTGCAGAAGCTGAAACAAGAAATTTGCGGGCAATGTGACACATCTAACTGTGTGTGTAAATACTTTAGAAAAAGGGAACTTGTTGCACTACATAGACTTGATCCTTGGGATAAGGCTTACGTTCTTATGTGTGCATCTCGTTGCACTTCGCAACTGATCCTAGTTCTTCCATAACATTTCAACAACAAAAAAATAGGTAGAAGTTAGTTGTAATCTGCTGTTTTTGTTCAAATTATTAAAGACTCAATATCTACTTTGTGCTATGTAAATTAATCATTTTTTCAGGTTTTCCACTAATCGTGTCAATTGATTTTTAATTAAAATAAACAATACTAATACTATTGTGAAACTAGATTTATTTGCTTTTGCAGTGTGGATTTTGATATGGGTTGTACTACTGGATCCAACCAGTCTCACACCTGTCAATCATTCCTTGATCAACTAATTTGTAACATTTCTTTAGTGTCTTTTAATTACAAGAATTTGTGTAGTAAAAAGTAAAGTTGCCCTTTTGAACCTTGCCGTCCATGTGCAGATGAAGTAGAGTTAACCTGTTTCTTTTACCTCTTCATTGAAGGATAGTGTGGTCATTACTAATACTATGTTGAGTCACCGAAATTCTACTTTATGTGAGCCATTACCCTTTAGAGCTGGGTGGACTCTGGGACATCTTATGGACTCAATTCCAGGATCTTGAGACTTGTAGGTTAGCAGCTGTGCGCTCTATTATCTAACCACTGCATATTTTGATTGTAATAGTAGAGTGGACTAGAAAATAAAATTTTCAGTGGTGAAGTGACAGAAATCTTTGGTGTGTTTTTATATGACTTTTTAGAAGCCAGCAGTTATTTGACTTTGTTGTGCTACTGAAAATATAAAATTGCAGTTTGCAACATGAACTAGTAACTGTTCTAGTATCATCCTTTAATTTTACAGCTCTCATGCTATCACTGTTAGCCTTATTATACTATTTATACACTTATAGTTTTAACAAAATCAAAGCCATATATTTAACAAATACCAACCTAATATGTATAGCTATATTCCACGCCTTTTAAAAAGAATAACTTACAGATTGTCTATATAAGGAGGAATAAAAAAAAGGCGTTAATGCATATAGAGAATAGGCTATATAGATCCATGTCACTACTCTACTAAATAAAATAGCCCAGTCAGAAAATCCATCACACATGCTTACATAGTGGTGTTAACATACACTAATAACAACGCAAGAGTTAAATAGATATTTAAATCCATTTAATTTTAATACATTTTCAACAAAACTTATAAGCCAGCCGTTAGTGATTTACTCTTCATCACTGCTACTTGAATCATTGTTTTCTTGATTTTCTTCCTCCCTTTCTAGAGCTCTTATTTCTAAATAAACTTTATACTCTTCTTTACTTAGCCCAGCAAATGTAGAAGCAAATGCATGGTTAGAGACATCAACAATATCTTTCAGATGAGGATTAGGGTTCAGATTAGGATCCAGTTTCTTTTTAAAAGGCACAAATAATCCAGTACGCACTAAATATATGTGCCGGTCAGTTATATGTTCAAGTGAATGTGAAAACAGTCTTGACTTAACAATTTCAGGCATGTCATAATACATGTTGTAGTAGGCATATTCAAATTTTTGTAATGTCTCTGACCAAGGGTCAAGTAGAACATTTGGGCACTTTTTAATAACACTGATGACTTTCTCCGAAGTGAATATACGTTTTAACTTGCTATAGATATCACAAGCAACTTTGGCGTCAACAAATACTACTTCAGGGTCATTATTTACTAAAGACAACAAATCTTTCTCTGAAAATCCCATGTTTCGAAAGTTTTCCATACTATATGTTATTTTTTTAGAAAATTCTTCCATGTTCTTTTTATCAAAACTAAAATGTCTAGATAATTTTTCTAAAAGAACAATGATTGTATTGTGTTGTAAACCGTATGATCTCAAATATTTTGTCATTTCCAGTAGAGATGATGACTGTCGCAGTAAGCTGACATTTTGGGACAGAAGTTTGGCAAAAGAATCTATTGAAAATCCTAATTTGTAGAGATCACTCAGCTGAAAAGAAATAAAATTGGACATCAAAATCTATCTAATAATAAGCTTACATTTCAATAAACAAATACAGTTTATACTTGAAAAATCATTATTTTATTAGCAATGCTTTTTTACTGTCTTGTATACAGAGTAGAGAGAAAGTATTGTTAGTTTTGTTGACGTGCACAAAAATGAGATTTTGACATTTTTCATAGTTTTACACCTCCCTACTTTATTGTATACAGAATATATAGGATGTATTATAATCCTACAAAAATCTAAAACGAGATTTTGACAAATATTGATGTTCTACAATGACAAAATTTCACATACAAGTATTATATCAAATTTGTATTTTCTATAAACTTTTGAGAATTTACAGGATTTGGAAGTGGTACTTATTCTACTTCTGATTTCTCAAAAGCCTATGACTTGAGAACCATTTAATTCATTTACATTTGGTTACCAAAATTCAAATATAATTATTAGGGTGTTGGCACAAGCTTTTGAATGATTTCTGGTAACCAAAAGTGATATTCTAATCTATTTCCTTTGGAATACAAAAACTTGAGTGGGGTTTTGGTTAGGTAGACAAAATTTCATATATATAAGTATAAAATCTCATACTTTAACTACTTTTAAATTTTGACTGACCTCCCAAATCAGGAAGTTGTACTTACCACTTTATTTCCAGTTTTAATAATACTGATAATAAGGTTAACGTTTAATAACGTACTTTTAACCTCTCTATTATACACATTATTTGAGTTCATTTTGGTACACTATACTTTTTCAACTCGATTCTATCTGATTTAAAAAATTCAAGTATTTAAAAATTTTTAAATGTAATTAAAAAAATGTCTATAGCCACACACTAACGAAATATATGAAAAAAATTTAATTGCTTTATTTATTTTAGAAGATCTTGACATCATTTTATTGGCAGGCACTGAGATTTCCTAATGTTACCTGTTGTATGCAATTTGTTTATTTGCATTTTATCAATCTTTCCATGGGATTAATTGCATAAACCATTTCTACTTCTACATTGGTCTAAAATTATACATAATTGTCTTAATGCATGATAATATAATTTTAATAATAAGGCCCTATATTTACAATAAAAAGATTTTTTTTTTAAATATCTGAATAAACATTCTGAAATCAGAGTGCTAAACAAAGTGAACTTACCAGTTCTGATACTTTATCTAGTGGCACACTACTAGCCATAACATCATTCATAGAAGCAGACTCTACCACTGCCTTTGCCAGAGAGTTAAAATGAGGTACTGAGTTAGCAAGTATTCTGCAACTTGTATACAATTTACAGGAACCAACAACCCTACTCATGAATGCTGTTTCAGTATTCTCTGTGCTGTGTGTAAATTGATAACTGTTTTTTACCACAAGACAACATTTGTTGAAATGTTCTGTTTGATTCTGACACAAAATATGGACTTGACAAAGGGATTTCCATATTGTTTGGACTAATTTTAAGTCTTTCCTATATAAATTAAATAAATTGACAAGTGACATTCTTCTGTTAGTTTTGTAGCCAACTTGCTTTATTTACTAGTGTCCAAATAACCTGTAATTGAAATTTTTAAAATAGTCAGCAAATTTTTTTTTTTAAATGTCTGCTTACCGTAGGTGAAAAGATTTTAATTTTTGAAATTGTATGACTTATAGTAATCATAAACCATAAATAAAATGATTTGAATTTTTATACACTTCCCTTCAAGTGGATAACAATTATTTTTATGACAACTCAACAATAAAATATTTCCTATCAAGCTACCCTAATTAAGCAATGACATGATAATAAATATATGATAGTATAATCTTATAGCTCAAATAACATAGACACTAAGCACAAAAACACACAAAAATGTGAGTCAGATACCCATCAGAGCTGCTTGAACTCTAAGTGACTCAAGTCCGGGATCTGAACTTGAAACCTTAAGGTCACACCATCCCATCGGAAGTCCTATGGTACATTTAAAGTACTGTGTGAGTGAACTATTTTGTTTTTGAAGTAGTGTCTACTCCCAATCGAGTGGAAGAGATAGGCTAGAGAAGTAGATATACCTACTCCCAGTTGCAATTTGAACCAAGAGAAGTATAAAAAATAGTAAAAGTGTCATTGTTGTGCAGCATGGTCTGATGAAATATTGACTTCCTCCTCTCACTCCTGAGACTCCAGCCCATTCAGGAGGGGGGGGGGGACGGGACAGTTGTATTTATGCATATGGGAAAGGATGTTTGTTTTTGGATATTTTGACTCTTCAAAACTTAAGATCAAAACATTAAAAAGACGTTCAATCATTGACAAATTTTGACTGTAAAAATTGGAAAACTAGATTCACTGGACTTGAGATACATTTGCGGCAGTGCAACTACATTATACCAATACAAACTTAACTTACTAAACTAACTTAAACAAAGCGTTTAAAATTAAAGTCTGCAGCAAGGTTATGTGAATTATCTGCTCGTTGAAATTAGGGTGTGGTAAAATTTTTGCAGATAACAACCCAATTTATCCACAATCAGATGCTCATAAAATGCAAAACAAAAATGTCAAGTGACTAGACATTTTCGCACTAGTAAGATGTCACACTCTTGCATTTTTTTAGAAAGTAATGTTAGAAGCTGAATTTCCGCAGTTATTTTGCATAAATTATACAGTAATTTGTAAATTCAAATTGTGGCCTGTAAGATGTGCGGCGTCAAAAAAGTCAATGAAAAAACGGACCCGACCTAAGACAGAGCACTGTGAAATCAACCCTGTCAAAAGGGCCAGCGAGTAATGGACCCCGTCATTTAAGCTCCAGACAAAACGGCTCCAGTCAATAAGGCTCTCAACAAAACGACTCTTGTCATTTTGGCACCCGACAAAACATTACGACTCGGAACAAAATGGCTACCATCATTACAACTCACGACAAAAGGGCCCCTGTCAATACACTTCTGCAGAGACTAAGTCTCCCTCAGAGTTTCTTCCAGGCATCTCTTCGAAAAAAATTTACCGCCCCCCCCCCAAACGAAATGAAATTTATATAATTTATATAGAAAATATATACTTTTAACAGTGTCGTCGTCGTCCCCCCCCCCCCCCCGGAGAAAAAAGTCTGGAAGAAACACTAGTCTCCGTCCTGCAAAACATCCTCATTGACTATGACACTGCCAGTGGCACCCCTTCATCAATTATCTTTGAGTATTTTTAGAGTTAGCTTAGCCAACACTATTATTAAGTAATAATACAACAACGTTTGAACGTATGCACAACGCTAAGCAGGATTTATTTTAATATTTTTAATGCTTGACACTAGTTCGGCTTTAAGATTGTCATAATGGCGGTAATTTGCTCATTGAAGCATAATACGACTACACTAGAATATCTGTATCGAATATGTCTAAAAACTTGACTCCAAAAGTGAGGTTCGGCCGTCGGTAAAACCTTAGTTTAGCGTCGGTTATTATTCCGGAATCGTATAGCAGTAAAAAACAGTAAAACAATGCCAAAGTCTGACACACACTTCCGGAATTCACCGGAAGTACTGTAAACCATACTTAATTTGGCGTCATCTTTTATTTTTACACAGAATGTTTAAAATTTGGATAGATTTATTTTTGTATTCATTTTTACATTTTGTAATCATTTTTACTATTTTCGTAATCTAGATTTTTTTACTTGGCCTAGCAGCTAGATATCTAGCTAGATCTAGATCTAATTAATTAATGGTCGCAAATCCGCTGCAAGCCAAAAACATTAAATTATAACATTTGACTTCATTATTTATGGCAGGAAACAGATTCAACCCTCAAGCATCTACTTTTAGGGTCGATTTTCGCCAATTTTCAAAGTAACAATTATTGACATATTATATATCAATTTTGTTGCTTAATAATCGAGGAATTCAAAAATATAAAAATTAATAGCACTAGACATTTACATCACGTTCAAAATGTAGATTAACCACACTCACTCAACTGAGATTTTTTTTTACATCTAAATGTAGTGGGGTCTAAAAATCCACGAAATTCACAAAATTAACAATATAATTACACAGAAATGTCACTTAGGCATACATTTATTTGTAATTATGTCAAACTTTACAAAATATACCAGTTTATAGCTTATTTCTATAATTATTCTTGAGAAAAAAAAACGACCGCCCTCCCCTTTAAAATTCTGGCTTTTAGAAACACTCTGAGGAAGAAAAAAATAACAGAGTTAAATATAGAAGGTCTATATAAAAAAACATAATTAATAAAATATGTCTATATGCCAATTTTTAATATAGTTGCAGCATTTACATGGCTAATTATAATTGTTTAGTACTTAAAACATTAATTTAAAGTTACGACTCTCTGTGGCGTCTTTCAAGTGTAATGTCAGTGTAGGTGAACAGGGTGTTAGGGCCTGATACGATTTCATTAGAATTGGTAATGAACAGAATGTATAATTAGAACTGGCATATAAAAACAATGTTGATAATAGATGCAGTTGTTTTAATGCTACTTATAATAGATCAAAATGACAAACATAATTAAAACCTAAGAATCTGGAAGCGCTGACCTCATTTTACTGACACGGTTGTCAAATAGTAAGTAGATCTAGATCTAGATCTAAAAAATAGATCTAGATTTACGTAATTTTGAAAATACGCTAGATCTAGATGCAAAATCACTTTTAAAAACTGAAGTTAGTGATTAGATCTAGCTCTATAATGAAATTGAAATCAACAACTGATATGTAAGTATCTTTTGATTTAAAAAAAAAAATACGCTTAGTTCTAAGAAAAAAAAAATTCTTTTGTGTACTCGATCCCTATCCCAAAACGTGCCAGCCATATCGCATGCGTAGTCAGCTACTCAGCTGCTTATCAAATCGATGAATTTTAAAATTATATAATAAAAGTAGGTCACCCTAAAAAAAGAGTAAAATGGCTCCCGTTTTCACGACAGCCGTCACTCGATTCATAATTTACAGAGTCATAAAGTTCTACTTTCTTTTGGCTATAGATTTAAAGAAATATTAATTTGTTATTTCTCATGCGTTCCAACAATTGTACCTAATTTTAATAAACATTGGATTAGTAAGGACTCGATTCTTTTTAGAATTAGCCCTCGACACTATACAGACTATTGCGAAGAAACAGCCTCGCGCGAATGTCGTGCGTAGGCTGGTTCAGTGGGCGAAGATTAGAACCCATTTCAGACGGAAAATTTTTACTTTGAAATAATTACATTATCAATTAATTTCGATTTAAAACAAATGGCTTAAAGTCAAAAGTAAACTAAAATTTAAAAACTTTGTTATTCGCAGTGTACTCAAGATTCTCGTGTTTTAAAGATAAGTCTAGTTTTACTACGTGTACGTGCATGGTGCGAATATCGATTTTCCCCGACAGAAAATCATAAACATTTTTTTTTAAAGTATCTACGGCAAAATAATACTTATATTTTACAGAATTAAATACATTTAACTAAACTGTTATTTAAATACATGCCTCGGAGGAAAAAAATACAATTTTATATCCGTAAAAAATTAACTGAAATCCCCGCTTTCAACGACGCCGATGTGTCGTAATTATGGCCATTCACTTTGTTCAAATTAAAGTAAAAAACACATTCAAATATACTTTTTTTTACTTTCATAATTTACAGCAATCATTTCTAATGAAAAATCCATAAAAATAATAGTTATTTTTACAAAATATTATTTCTTACCTTATTAGTGCAGTACACGTACTTTTCCAAGTAGATCCATTCCGTCTAGATTTGCATACTTCGCATCCTTCGCCGCGGCACAAAATGTCATAAAAAACGTATTCCACAAAAATGTTGCTAACGAAGCTTGTAAAAACATAGCTCTATTTATTAGTATAAACAAAATCCCCGACCGATGTCTGGTTAGAAAGTTTATGAACGGCGAAGATCGAATATGCATTTTGCGGTACTAATCTGTTTCCTGCCTTATATTAATAGCCTATATGTTGTTTTTTTTTTGTTTTTTTTAGATCTACTAATTTAAATCTACTATTATATTTATTCTTGTTTCTTTTTGTTGATTAAACTTTAAAAAATTAAAACAATTTACTACAATCGACTTTCAATTTATTTATATTTCAATGGTCAAATAAACCATGGTTTACCGTAACTCTAGTTACCGAAACTCAACAAACATTACCCGATAATTTCCGACGCTAAACTAAGGTTTTACCCGGCCGTCATCGGAAAGTGGCGAGTTTTTATAAAAACTGCATCAAAATGTCCGGATGTGGTCGTACCGAATCGAAACAGCGGAAGTAGAAATGCCTACATACCTACATTTTCAAAATGTATTGTATTGTAATGGACACCAGCGAGAAAAGTCTCAAAGGTTTTTGAGAGGTGTATAAATTCATTTAAAAATCATGCACAGCGTAGTTACAATTAATATGGTTATAAACTCCTGCCTGTCTGGTTTTTTTCGGACTTTACTAAAGATTGGATGTATTTGATGTTTATAATATTTTCGGTAACTAAATAAATTTTTAAAAAAAAGCAAAAACAATTTGGTTTTCACCTGTAATGGCGACATAAACAATGGCATCCTGCTATTGGATAGGCCGCCATAGATTTTATTGTACACATTGTAAGCTAAAAATAGAAAACTAGGTCATGGGGTTTTAAATTTGCATTGTTATTTAAAAACTTGATCTGCAAAGTTTTGTAAACAAATAGTTATCGATCACTAAGTTACTGTACAGCCAATCAATATTTGTCTTACGAAAGTGAAACATCCGTTTATAACTTAGGCCTGATGAAAATAAATAGAAATGTAGCCTTAAACTAGGCTTTCCGACTTCCGCTGTTTCGATTCGGTATTCCACATCCGGACTTTTTGATGCAGACTTTATAAAAACTCGCCCTTTTCCGAAGAATGCCGAATCTCACTGTTGGAATCGAGTTTTTAGAAATATTCGATATAGATATTCTAGTGTAGTCGTATTATATGTTTCAATTAGAAAATTACCGCCATTATGACAATCTTAAAGCCGAAATCGATCGCACGATTCTAATGAGTTTATCTTGCGAACATGTCCCGTAGGGTGCTGTCACATTTTAAATAAGTTTACGTATTAAACACATTATAAGTGTCTTGCCATTAGTTGTAAGTGTCCATTAAATAAACAAATATTATTATAATAACGGTTTTATGGCACTTATTACTTCTGTTTACGAGTTATCATACATGTCAAATCCCCGAGCTAGCGCTTCGGCCTTGACAACGCCATGGCGTCCGTTTAGCACCGCATTACCTATTATCGATAAAATACGCGTACTAATGCCAATGACGTAGTTTTCGAAGGTGGAAAGAATTTAAATTGTGGGTGGCACTGTTAAAACTAGATAAAATACATTGATCAAGTTATCTATTAAAAACGACAGGCAAGAAGCTTAGGCTTACATTAACTAGTGTCAAGCATTTCACACATACCTACTTAGTACTTAGATTTAAGGCTTATTATACTTAATTAAGTTAATACTAAATTATACTTTATAGGCCTACTATATA